GTGATATATAAATTATAAAACATTAGAATCATTCCTATTGGAATCTCTCACCTTTCTATGTTCAACTGGGATAAGCGGCAATTCCCGGTTACTGTAATTTGGAGACAGTTTTAAATGTAATGGAGATTTTGGTTGTGAACGATCACTACAGGATCGAACACTCCCAGAGTGTACACAACCATCCGCTTCCACGGGTATTGGGGGTAAAGCCCTACCCTGGTTCGCAGACACTGGGGGCACGTACAGAACGTCACTGACAATAGAGGATGAAGTATAGCTGGGACTCGTAGGATGAGAACAAGGCGGGCGGGAACCGGAAGTACTTCTCCAAGAACCGGAGGTTGATATTCTTCCAGTCGCTGTTTGAATGTTTTCTAGGTCTTGCAGTTTAAATGTGTCTTCTGGAAACACCATCCCTTGCTTTCGTTTTCGAGTGTCCTGTGTTTGCTGAGGGCAGTATCCATAATGCTTATCCTCCCTTGGTCTCCCTGGGTAGTCGGGTTCGATTCCATCAAAATAGGTCGCCCAATTAGGCGTCCCCATTTTTATCGTTAATTAAAACTCCAATTCAAAAGTCAACCATCGAAGAAAAGCGTAAAGTACTGGATATCCATCAACTTATAAGAGAATGTAAAATTTATTTCATTCAATGTCTATCAGCATCTGACACAGATTATTAATAAAATCCCTAACAAGATCAAACTATGTTCAATATTCACCGATAAATCCACATAGAATATAATCCTTTCATAAGAAGCATATACTATAATTCAAAAAAGGTCCCACAGAGAGAAAAAACCTTGTTGATTTCACTATACGACTTTGAATTAATATGAAGAACCCAGGTCAACGCTTCTTTCTTACGACTGTCGTTTTGAAATTTCGTGATTCTCACTTTGCATAAATTGCAAGGTATTACGTTCATTGGCGTGTGTTTCTGTCCAGCCTTAATGGTTCCGCTTCAATGACCCAGCACTACCTGTGCCGTTTTTGTTGTTTTACCTTGCGATTAATTAATGTCTCTCTCGTCCATCAACACCGCAAGATCGTGTGTTGAACTTTAATTAATATTCTCTTTCACACGTGTTAAATGAATTGTGACGCAAAAAACGAGCTTTTTCGCAGGTTTCATACTGTATACCATTTTTCAATATTGTTTACATACATGTTGCAAGTAAAACAATTAATTATGATAATTAATTTATTTACCTGTATTGCGGGATTGCATTGGGTAAGATTTCATCTTGAATATTATATCACATTTTATATTTTATGACGACGCCTACGTGTTGGACAAAAATATGACACTTAATTATGTGTTTATTTTGACATAAAGCACTTTGATCGCAATATTGCGAGGACATTTTTTAGGTGTCCAACATATGTTATTTTATATGCAAAACGAGCGGATACTAGACAGTTTTACATAATATCTCCTTAAAATATATACACAGTAAATGTAATGATAATTAATGAATTTCTTGAAATACACTGTAGATATTAAATAGTATTTAGAAGTAAAACTAGAGAAACTGTAAACGAGCTCACAAAGTTAAGCATGCTCCTCCACTCCCTTTCTTCCAGAAACCTCCATTAACTTTCATATTGATAAATTCACTGTGAATCAGATTCAGAACACATTTTCAGATAATAAACGGTTATGTAAGGTATGGGTTATCAATTTATCATCATTAGAAACTTCACACTTTTATTTTTTACAATTAATTTAGTAGTTATCCAACTTACCCAAACTCGGCGTTATAACACACTCTCAGTTTTAGTCTAATATGTAATAAGGTACAACTGAAAAGTCTTTCTGCACTTGACATTGAACATAACCTTCTAATATTAGATACAGACAGCGGAAAACCTTTAGGTCATAAGTAATTTGGTGAGAACTCTTAGCTTCCAATGTTACTTTTCTGGAAAATTATGGCACTACCACAAACTTTACATTTCTTCTCGCCATTAACTTTGAACTTTTCTAAATAACATTGAAATTTTACAAAAACATATTTTCAGGTCATTAGAATTCTGTGTATGAAATATGTGGAGATAACGAACAGTATTCGAGTTCAAAAGTCCATTAAACATTACAAGATAGGAGCTGAGCAAACACGGACCTCTAAGACATAAGGGGTCGGATCAGGTGCCATAGAGGAGTTAGCATCCCCTGCCGACCGGTCACACCCGCCATGTGCTCCTTGTCATGATCGGGAAATAACGGAAAAATCCGTCGACAATTCAGTGTGTAAATAATGGCCTAACAATTAGTATGAAAAAAGTCAGTCAGCATTTGATTTAATGATAGATTGTATTTGCTGACTAGGTCATTATATCGACCATAGAACTTACGAAATGATGACTTCAAACGAGACTGCTGTCTGCTGATATTCTTGTTTCATCAACTTGTTTGTCAATAACTTACCTCGTTTTAGAAATTGTTCATACGTAGAGCATGCTCTGGCGTAACCAATCAACTGAGAGATATAAACTCTGTATGCAGGTGATAAGGATATATTGCTGCATAGGTAAGGGAAGCTGACGATTTAAAAGTTCAAGTCATCACGTTTATCATAAAGGTTTCTTGTTAGATTACCATTAACGTCTTTTTCTAAAAAAATATCCAAATATCGTGTCTACATAAGAATGGAAATAACCATTGTTAATTGACAATACGTCGTCGATATACATAAATGTCGAGTTGAAGGCCACAATAAGTGTTTTCTTCTTTTCTCGTAATAATGTAATGTATCAAAGTAGATTCTCGTGTTTCTGTTGAAAAGTTATTACCATTGCACAAAATATTATCTGCCCCGACCTTAAGCCTACTCAAAAGATAAAATGTCAAGGTCATGACACATCCATTGGTCAAAATAGAGTTTCTGCACCATTTTGCAAGTTCAAGTCAAGGCCCACTACGCTCCTCAGAAACCCTTTGCTGATTTCGCCACTTTAACTGCTCGACACTTGCGACACTTTCTGAATGCACTAAACGTTAACCAATCATATATTAACAGTTTCAAAGTGCAGTGCAGAGGTGTACTGAAAACAGATATAAAAGAAATACAGCAACAGTAGACTAGTTTTAGGCAAATATACATGCAGATGAAGGGAGGACAGTTTGTACAGTGTATCTCTGGGTGCAAGAAAGCTAGTGGCAATCCGATTGTATATGAACGTCCGTCTTGTTTAGCCACTCGCTTCTTCGCCCCAAATGCAAATGATCGGCATCATTATCAGGTTGGACTTATCATTGTAAGAAAGAAGGAAAGCGACCTGAGAAGTTGAGGGGAACAAAAAGAGGGAGCAAGAATGAGAGTAGAAGATCCGTTAGATCCCTGGGTGTATTGATAACTGGTGATAATGAAGACATGTACATAGCCAGCAGTCTCTTCAACAGTGTGGGACTTCTTGTGAAGGTTATTGCATCTGGTTCTAAGAAAGAATAAATCAAGTTCTTGAACGTAGAGGTTAAATCCACCTTACTGAATTTATGCTCTATAATTTTATAAGTTTACAATGAATATGTTTAACGTGACAGAAAGTTTCAAGCATTAAGTTTTTCTCTTAGTAGTATTTTTTTTTTTTTATACCTTTCTTAAACTATCTGACCGCCAGACCACACATGAAGCAATTCATTACGGAGGTATTTCCAAATACACATGTACGTGTAATTTGACGGAGTCTGTAACCAACTCCAAACTCAGCGGTTACCGATTTGCATCAACCTCCATGATAGATGTACTGTACAATAACACATCAAACGTACCCAGTTATTACGAAGAAAAACAACAAAACCACTGACAACTGTGTTTAACCTTTATTTTGTCTATCATGTTTCCCTCTGACGCAAAATATTAATCAATTTGGTGAAACGCCTATCAAGGAGTGAAAATATTCTCCTTTACAGGCCACATAATTTTGTTTCGCCATATATTTATGCAATTACTTGCAATTACTTTGCATAATTTCTTCTGCAAATGTTGATTATAAAAAGAAATTAAACAAGAGGCCCTTGAGCCTTGAGCCACAGCACTTTTATTATGCACCACTCTTTTCCTGAAAAATTGAATTTGTACATTTAGATAAATTAAACCCTTTTCTGTGGTAACCATATGAATGTCCATGTATGATTTCAACAATTTGAATTTATAGTATATCCAGGCTTGATGTTAACTTTTTATCTTGTTCTTGTAAATGTCTATATTTTTTGCCAAATTTTTTTTACCCCAATTGTTTCAAATTATTGCACAGGGGTCATAATTTGGAAAAAAAGGAAAAGGTAAACTACATGAGGAATCTGCTTACTAGCATCTCCTAGTAATTACGGCTGTGATGTTCTTATAGGAAACTTTTCATGTTTTTTTTTTCTGTATTTATATTTAACACCCTATTATGGCTTATTTCTGCCCCTATGATAATTTGAACTTCATTCTACACAATAGAAAACAACCGAGTCTTCTCTAGACCAATGGTTCTTAAGAAGATGATTTAAATGAATGCATTTTCTCTCTTTTGAAAGAGGGCACGGCTTTTTATCTGAACAAACTTCAATTCCCTTCACCCAACGAAACTTTGAAGCAATTTTGGTTGAAATGTTTCGTTATTTATCGGGAAGAAGCTGAAAATGTGAAAGTTTACAAAGGATGCAAAAAGATAGGCAGACGGACACCGGAAATGATCTCTATCAGAAAAACTAATTAATGTCTTGACTCAGATGAGCTTAAAAAACTAAGTTATTGTAATTTGTTAAAATGCAAGCTGAAACACAATGAATTAAAGTCATACCAAAAGTAAGTTAATTCAACTTTTCTGTCGTGGGATTATGCAGACAAAATAAGAAATAACAAAATAAAATAACAACAAATGTGTTCTTATAAAGCAATGTGTTCTTATAGAACAAATAAAACCAGATAACATTAATACATGACTGTATAATACCCAGTGTTTACTCAAATTAGCGCCCGAGATATATTTCCATTTGACGCTCTGTGTATGTAAACGTCATGCATGCATATTTCAAAGGAAGCACTTTTTAGTTTCAAAATTCTGTTTCCTTTCCTCTTCTTGTGTAATTTAAATGTTGAACGTTTACCCATATTAAAAAAAGTCTTTTCCTTGGTTACTTAAGAACTTCTTTTTATTGGCTACTTGAGAATGTTCTTTTTATTGGTAACTTGTGAATGATCTTTTCATTGATTACTTGTGGATAGTATTTTTAGAAGACTTTGGAGACATTTTATTGGTCACAGGAGCCTTATGCTCCGCCTCCCAGGCCAGCTGGCGCTGCTTCTCTTTTTGTCTTTCCTTTTCAGCTGCCTGAAATTTGAACATAAAAAAATGTTGTAGAATTTATGTTTTAAAAGGGGGGGGGGGGGGTTGCACAAATTCCCTCTTCCTAACCAAGATCTAAATGTTTACAGAAAAAAGTCATATAGTGCATTTAATAATTTTTTTAATAATTTCTTGTTATATTTTGTTTAACTTGATCATCTGGTTGCTGTAGGAATGACAATACCGATCTGAGTCATGCCTGCACGCGCTTTATCCAGTAATGTACAAGATACAATTATTCTCTTTCTTCAAATGTCTTAAGTAGGCCACTTTAATAATTTTTATCATGTTTTATCGTTGCATTTGTTTTAAATTCAACAATAAAAACATAAACTATCCCCACCTCTTCCTTCATTTTGTTGACCATGTACTCCACTTGAATACGTAAAATCTCTACTTTTCGTTCATTAGAGTCCTCTTCGTTTTGTAGACTGAGGGCTCGATTCAGGGGGAAGAAATCATAAATATGTCTCTCTAGCTGGTTGTAAACAAACAACTCCAGAGCGGAGAAATCGTTAGGACGTGTTTCTGTCAGGTGGATGAAGAAAAACAGGTAGGACCACTGGTGGTGCTCTGTTTTCACGTGTTTCTCAAAACCCTGAAATCATTCCGTAAAAATTCTGTTTTATATTCACTTTAGTACAATGGGAAAAATGTTGGGCTTCCAAAAAGGTACCATTTATCCCTTTTCTTAGATAAAATCTATCTCCACTATCCGAATAAATCAAGCACAGTTATATAAGAAATAATTTACTTTTTTTTTTTCATTTTCATGTTGATCAAACAAATCACAGAAACGATTGAATAAATAAACAAACAAAGTAATTTGATATTGTACAAGGGAAGTCTTATCATTTTAAGGTATCCTACCCATATTAGGACCTTATTTTCTAACCTTAAATATCCATCATGTGTAAAATATTCTATTATTAATTCAAAGCATTTTAGAGTAGAAGAAAGTATACCAAGAGAAATTTTCAAAAATATAATTACCTAAGGAGTAATTACATGTAATCAATGTAGGTATTACTAAGGTCTATGGGGACAATCAATGTTTATGAAAATGAAAAATATTGATAAATGCTGTGATGGAAAGTTGTATTGATTGAAGACTAAATTTTTACCAGATAGATTTTTTCAGAATTGATTTTTATCGATCGAAAGCAAAGGGAGAGACAAAGGACAGGACAAGGTCATTAATAAGGGAACATTCTGCTCTTACTTACTGATAATAAAACATATAAAAATATGTCTGAATAACTAAGAATTCAGCCCACACTTATCTATTATGCATTACTGCACATTCATCGATTCTGAGGCTATTATGGGTCGGATATCTTAAACGATACGTAACGGAACATTTTAGTTTCTGTTTAGAACGAATCAAAATTCTTTCATAAACATTGGTTAAAAAAACATCGTATAGAAAAAGGAAATATTTGTTAACAACGGAACCATTTCTTTGTACAGCACAGAATAACATGATTCTCAGGCATTGCTATCGAGGGACCATGATTATTTTTATCTGAAGTAAAGCAAGGTTTTGGTTTCGAACATTTACGCAAGTTGTCAAGATATATGTTCAATAAACTTCAAAGCAGTTTTATAAAGATAGCAATAACAACGATTAAACAACAACATAATTATAAAATACAACAGCTATAAAAATCTTCCCTTTTTTATGCTTTTTCTTTGATGCTGCTATTATATGGTATAGCAACTACAAAATGTGACGCACTAACAAACTATTCTTAGAGCTTGCAAGTTTTCAAAACACATTCTTTATAATGTCGTTTTTAAAAATAATCTATAACCATTGTAAGTATTTTACTTATAGTATTTTAGTTTTAAAATATTTAAACTTTCATAGTATGAGTTTAATCGTCATTCTCACCCCGCCATGTCTCTCAAAATCATAGGATTCTCTGCTGCAAATGAAGCAGTTATTCATCATATCTTTGTCAATTTCCCACTGAAAAAAAGATGAATTATCATAAAAATAACGATGACTGACTTCTGGTGTTAAAGTCAAACAATCGCCTGGTAGGGTCGTTAGAATTTGTTACAAAATTGCTATTATATAACCTGGTGTGTGTTTGTATAAAAAGAGAGAGAGAGAGATGGTCATACCTTGGCATCTCGAAGCTGTGAGAACGTGTCCACTATGATACCAAAGATAATATTCAGCCCAATAGTGGTGATAAGAATGAAGAATGTGACATCAAATATCGTCACTTTGATGACGTCAGTATAGTCAGAGGTCATAATACCTTCAAAGGTCTGAAAAAGGTCAAATAAAAGTTAATTTAGCAAATTTAATACATAAATAAATTGCCTACTCAAGGCATTTCCTTCTTCATTATCAATTTCATATATAACATGTATATTTGCAGTAGTGCACTTCGCTGAGTTTATGCATTTGTTTCTTACAAAGATTCCTAAGTTATATTGTGATTTCGTATAATTGTTCATTACGATAAAAAAAGAATACAACAAATATAAACCGTATAAGGTGTGTCAACAAAGCCATGATGAATCATAGTGATAAAACACTGGTAAACAGTTCGACAATGTCGTCCGGCTGATTCTTGGAAGAATGACTCCCGCAACACAGCAAAGGCCACCAAGGAGTAGCAGAAAAAAATAGCCAAGCCAAGGAGGGCAACCATTAACAAAGATTTACCTGAAATACATTAAATTATTTCATCTTAAGTAAATTATAACAAACACTGTTCTTGGTGTATGAAACCAGAGCTTCTAAGTACTTGGAAAAATGCCAATTTAAAAAAGTTACTGGGTTTTCAAGGGTATCATATTTGAACAAATCGAAAATGGAAGAATAAAGGATAAATTAAAAATGCATAAAATAAACTAGAACCAGATATTAACCGATTTTCTGGAAACTTTTTCTCGGACACAAAGATATCATGCAAGCAGAATGTACTTAGCATTACATATCATAAATATAATTGCTCACCATTGGTGGTAACTGCCTGTCGGACCCTCTTTAGGAGCTGATTTAATTCAGCTAAATGGAGCAAGTGGAAGGAAAAGAAATACCCATAATAAACTGTACCTAGAACGGAGCACACGAAAAACAGCTGAAAGTAGAGAATTAGTGCAAATTATTATTTGATGCGGTGAAAAGGAACTAAAAATGTTATCTTTGAAAGAAAATATTTAGATACATATTTTCCAAAAATAATGGAGTAAGTATATCTTAATCTCTTCTCAACAAAGAAATTAACAGCAAGTACATTTACTTATTTAAAAAAGGAAGTACAGTTATTTGATTTATTGATAGTTATATTAATTTCAGTTACATACTCTAAAAAAGAAATATGCATTATATTTCAAATTTTCCCATATGTAATTGTTAAATGATGTGTAGCTAGTTCTTTCATGGATCGAAAAGATGATTATATAATTAAAGTGACAAGTTAATATTTTTCTTACAAAATAATAAATTGTGTATATGTTGTAAATTTCAAATTCTAGATGTGATTGGTCCGATTTCTTTTCATGCCACGATCTGACGTCATCATCGTCGCCATCTTCACGATTAGACGACCTGAAATAGATGGGGAAATCACAAAATAGGATTTGCATAAAGCGTGTTTTATTTCATTATCTTTAATCATACTCAAGAGGGCTGCTTCCCTAATTCAATTTTATATTAGACACAAAGTTTAAAGTACTCACAATTTCTTTTTGAGCCAATTGTATGGAGGGAACGTTGGCTGGTTAGAAATTAAAAATGTCACCAACATACTTAAGCTAAGAAAGTTGTGTATTCCTCCGCACACATACAAAAACAGATAGTATGTACTGCTATCTATGGTGAACTCAGGGACTATGCTAAAAAACAAGAGAAATTGAAGTTAAGATTTCCTTTTCCGTCAAAATATAATTGTCATTCAATGGAATGTAAAGAGTTACCTCCCCGTGTTCGAGGTTCCATCCGCGTTTTTGGGGTCTCTCCATGTCACCATGATGACGCAGCTAATGATGAAACTCAAAAAGAGCACGATATAGTTCATGGGAAGCCTAGAATTAACAACTACAGGTATGGAAGATGGAAAGTTTAAATATCATGGTATAATTTTTTAGAAAATGAAAAAATGTGACATTAAATTAAAACAATCGTCACTTTCCTCATTTTAATCTGAAAAATCTCTAGCTTTTATTTACACTGACCACATTTTAAGTAATATCCTTCCGACAATGTTGGAGTGGATCTTTCGTTGATATTTGATGTCCTGGATGATATCACTGGCCCAATCCATGAAATCTCTAATTTTGTTACTTGGGGAGGTTCTGTCAACCTCGTATTTAAACTTTTCTTTGATCTCTTCTCTTAACACGTTCTGAAGCAATGAGAATTATTTTAAATGTATATGTGCTATTTGCATAAAGCAGTTTTATTATCAATAATGATAACGTCAGATTCAAAATCAATGTTATTTTCAATAAAAACCTTTTGGATTTGAAATTAAAGAGTACCTTCTGTCAAAGAGTAGTTCTAGATTTTAAATTGGATATATTGATAAGACGGAGAATGTATTTATATTGCAAAAGTATAGTTAACATAAAACAGTAACAATACTCATAACCTGTGATTTAAAATCAATGTTCTTTGTACCAAAACCCTTGTTAAAATTGTTATTTATCATCCATCTTTTATTTTTTTTTTCAAAGAGTAGTTCTAGATTTAAAATAAGAAATAGAGGATATTCTATGTTTTGTAGCTGGATATGGAATTTATTTCACTAGAGGGACAGGATTTTTTTAATATTTTCACGAGTGCGAAGCAAGAGTGAAAATATAAAATAAAATTCTGTCTCAAGGGTGAAATAAAGTCTATATTCAACTACACAACATTGAGTTTTCTGTTTATTACTATTTCGTTGATTTTCCCTCTGCCTCTGTCTTTTCTTAACACAGTGTCATAGGCTGTGACGTCATAGTTGAGCGGTTGAGACATTATAGCTCAGCAATTGTGAGGTTTAGAACATTGTGACATGGATTTAGCAACATATTTGGGAAGAAATTGGCAATTATAGTCTCAATTAAGACGGTTTAGTTATTATATCTATCTTATAATAGGCCAGAAATTATTTTTTACTGACTTTGATATCCTTTCATACTGAGAGAATATCACTTTGGTATCCTTTCACACTGTGAGAGAATATCACTTTTATTCAATAAATAAATCACAGTATTTCACTGTTGAAAATGTAATAAATATATATATACGACACAGAGTTATATCTTCATATCAAAATTAATTAAATTGTGAAGTAAAGACTTTAAATTACGAAAAGGTGCAATAAACTTTACAAGGAATGAACATGATATAGAAACTTATAATAAACATATAATTTCTCATAATGTGCTCATTATAAATTTCAAAAGATTATCAGTAACCATACAACAACAGTATTGAAAATTTTATTTCTAAATTTCAATATTAACTAAGCACCTCATATAATGAAGGAAATGTACAAGTAACCTTCAATTACTTACAAATTCAAATTAAGGCAAATATCTTATTTATAAAGGTCCAAAAAAAAATCTATCCGCTTACTTTATCTTTGACCCGGAAATAAACTTTCTGCAAGGCATCGTCTTTCAAAATCTCAATGGACAAACTACTAGCTGCATAGTAATCCCAAGCAGCTCGCTGCATGTCTGTCTTAACCAAGTCTGTTAGTAAGGTAAGACAAATAGATATAAAGTATTCTAAATAAGGAATTTAAGAGAATCGTGAAACATCACATCTCTCTTTAGAATTGAGACACCTTAAAAAATCAACTTAAATGGTTGAAAAATAAAAAAATAAAATAAATTAAAAATATGATTGAAGAGTAAGAGACAAAAATATATAGAATGGATTTTTTGCTTGAAAAAAAAACCTTTCAGCAATCATATTTCCCATTGTGACGTATTACTATTAAGTAGATAACATACTCAGTACACAATCTGTTATTGATTATATTGACTAGTATAATATCATATTGACTAGAATAAGATAATACATACTGTCCCTCCCTAAACTCGGGTCCATATCCATTTCACGACACAGTATATGAAAGTAGGCGAAGCCAGTACTCTCAATCAAATCATACAGTTCTTCAAACTCTCTGCGATCACCCTGAAATCATTTTAATAAAAAATATGCTTTTTAAGGAGCTCAAGAATCAATAACTGAATAAGTTGATATTGATAATTATGTAACCAAGTCCAGTCCTGTATTAATTATCAAATATCACATCTTATAATAAATCAGGGGAAAGTTCTTTATCAAATATGTTACAGAGTAATTGCAAAATATTCTATTAGTAAAAAATCAAACAAATAATTTGTTAAATATTCGTCTAATTAAGGTGTGATAAACAAGTATTTTTAGCAGGAGTATAGAATGTGATTCACATCTTAAAGCTGTACTGTGCAAAAAATTGAAAAATCCCAAAAGGAAAATTAGTATGTTCATGTACTTGGCTGAATGCAGTTCTCTCGCATCCTTAATTTAAATATTTACGATTTTTTAAAATGATTTATTCATAAGCAACGTACAATTTGGAAAATAAAAATATATGTGCATATGAAAGCAACTCGTGATTTTTTTTTTTTTTTTTTTTCATTTCCTTTTTAAAAATATTCTAAAATGAAAATAATATTTTTTCAAAGAGGAATCATGCACGTTTTACATGTACCAAAGTCTCAAAGGTATGAAGACACACATGTTGTGTAGTGCAATCGATGGGGGAAATGAAAAAAAGACTCAACAGAAAACACATTTTTATACCTTAGATGAACGAGATTTACTCATACTCTATGACAGAAAAGAATGAGCAAAATAATCAAGCTTATCATTTCTTTTCATAAAAAAAGAACTAAAAAAGAAAGGTATATGTTCAAAAATAGATGAAACATTGCAAACAAATATTATTACCATGATTTGAGAGTAGGCTTCAGTCATCGTGTTGACGCAATGGTCCTCATCGAGGTACTCCATTACTTCCTGTGCGTATAGATTTCATAACAATAGCACATTATTTTAAAAACGTAGTTTTATGTTAAACATGCATTTGTATTTGATTTAATGAAAAAATCTTCGATTTTTTATTATAGAATTTTGAATTTACAGGGTTATTCACATCCTTTATTTATATTTAACTTTTTTAAAAAGCTACATATAGACAATATTTCTTAAAATATATGTTTGCACCACCTGATAATACTTTAACAGTAAAAAAAAAACACGTCAACAATAATAAAATGATAATAAAAAGCAATAATAAAACAATTTGCAAAAAAGCTTACAGCATGTAAGCCTGTTACATGTACCTTAGTCTTGTACTGTTGAATAAAATACAGATATAACGAATACACCGAGAGGAGATTTGGACAGACAAAACAGTTGCTTTATTAGCATTAAAAGCAAATGTTATCACTATATAGGGCACACACTAATACAAGTAATACGAAGATCCTATGGTCTATGAATTTATTAGAGTATAGGAAAATTTCAAAAACCTTGCTGACAAACAAACCTATGAATTTCTTTTTATTTACTTTCTACACAATAATTTCTTAAAGTAAAATCCAACCAATATAAAATTATAAATTTTAATAGTTTTTCACCCATGACACCGACCATAGTGACCTTTTAGAGACGTTCAATCGAAACATTGCTCGACATTTTCCGGGAACAATAAAATCGGAAAAGGCCCTTCAGTGTTTCCAATGAACAATTGCAAAGGAAGTTCAAAGGGTGACAACTCTTACCTGTGTTGTGCTCAGTTCATGCCGAGTTTCGTTATTTAAAACACTCTAAACAGATAAGTATGGTTCGAGAGTTATATCATTTCAACTTTGTATTGTTTTCCTAAATATTCATTTACACCTACCATGAAAAAAAAACTTTTATACTCATACACTTCCTCACCTTTGCCATGATTTCTTCATCTACATCCGGGGTATTTTCTTCTGTCAAAGATCGTATCAGCACTGCTATAGACCTTTTCAGGATATACTCCTGAAACAATAATTATTGAATAACCTTTCGTGAAAAAAAGAAATGAATAAATTTAGTACTAAATTTGTTTGCAGTTACCTCCTTGAGTCCACAGCCCGGGAAATGGCCCGTCCTAAGTATGTGGTTGATGTAATCACAAACCTTGTTTTCAAACACTACCGACTGGTTTTTCTTATTGCCCTGATAAAAAAAAACGCTATGTATGAGAAAGATATCCTCCATACTCTGTTACTCATTTTGATGCGATCTTCTTTTTTCATATCTTAAATTCAAATTACCTATCATTTTGATTTAAGCTAGCCATTTATTGATAAAGAATACACATATTTACCGATGTGAATTCTACCAATGTGTCAAAGAGCTGCACCACTAACGGCATGGTCCTGTCGTTGATGTTGGAGTATAGAATGTTTAGGAACTTGGTTGTTTCTGCCACCAGGTTTACCGACTTGATGTTGTCATATTGCTCTCGTATGTAATTCTACAGTCAACAATTTATTAAAACACAATATTCACTGTGGAATCATTAATTATTCTATGGGGACCAATGTTTGTGGATTTCTTGGGTCACCTTTATCCATGAAATTACACATCAACGAACAATTTTTGGTCAACGTATATGTCCATTGAATCTGCTTAAAAAACGATTTATCCGCTTATTTACGGCCCACGAACAAATGAACATTTTGTTACCCATGAACATTGACCCCCACGAATAAAATCTGAGATAGCAATTTAAAATTCATTTCTAGTTGTTTGTCTCCTTTTTACCTGAAGTTCAAAGTGCTGGTTATCGCACATTAGTCCCAGCATACGAAGTACAAGTTCTATGTAACCATCATCCCTGAACGTGAAATCTCCTGTCATACTCATAGCTGCTCCCATCAGCTCTTTTAATTCTTCTTCATCTACTTTCTACAATTTACAACATATTACAACATATTATATATATATATATTATATATATATATATATATATATATATATATATATATATATATATATATATATATATATATATGCTATACCTTATTTGCGTGCGTGTATTTATATGTATTCTTCATATAAATTTACATATTCTCCTGTGCTTATAGAACACTCAAATATATTTCCATCTTCCAGGCAACATGAAAAAGTCATTTTTGACTAATTCCTTAATGCATTCTTCCTTTATTCTTTCTGAAAGGTCTAGTATAAGGAACTGTTAAAAATCGTAAATACGTATTAACACTTAAGTATTAGTTAATTTTATAAAATGCTAACTTTAACTCATACCTCGATCTGAATTTCTGGAGGATTTTCCATTGGTGCAACCTTCGATTTGGGGTTGGAAAAACCATTTGCACTGCCATTCATTTGAAGTGTGGATTTCTGGACGCCATTAACAGTAAGGGTAGGAGGCTGTAGAAAATGATTGCCCATCATTGTGTTCTCTCGACTAAAACCTCCTCCAAGTTTCGCTTTGGAGCCAAATCGCGATGCTGGTCTTGGAGACCCAGGTAAAGCAGGCTGTGGAAATAAATAATAATGCCATTTACAGCATTTTTAGAAGCTTGCAGCTCTCAGACGATTCATATTAATATATAACGAAAGAAAAAGAAGAAAAGGTAGTAATACTGTTATTTTATCATTGAAATGACTCATAAAAATCCTACCAAATTACTTCCTGGACGGAGTTGTGCCATGGATCGTTTTGCCATGGACATCATTGACCCTATTCTATTGGCCTTCAATATTTCCTGAAATATCAAAATATTTTTCATTTTAGGGTTTATCACCTTATCATAACTATTTACGTTATAATGATGAAAGGATTTATGAGATTCATTAAAATTTGCTATCTTCACGTTTTTCATTGTTACGAAAGACTAATTTTTATACATTTTCTTTCTGAAATGAAGGTTATAAAATCAGAGCTAAAGAAAGTTTGATCATAAAAATCACCAATTGTGCCATTTTGCCGGACGCCATTGCTTTCTGTAATGCTTTAGCCTGTTGGACGGCTTCATCAACCTTAGACTGGTACATCGCATGTAATAGTCGCCTGTCACAATAAAATGTTGGTCATACCCAAGATGTCTATACATTGTCTAGGTTTAATTATTCAATAAATGAAATAAAAGACTTATTATTTAAAACTAACAAAAATAAAAATTACTTCTCTCGTGTTGCAATGGCAGACATCTGCATACGAGCTTTTAAGGTAAAGAAAAACGACTCCTCTCTTGTACCCGTGAAATACTCATAAAGTTTAGTCTATAATGATAAAAATTTGATTAAATAAAATGTGTATAACGTTTTTTTTAATCTGTTCTTAATAAGAAATTTTTTTACTTTTACTTTTTTTTCTCAGTTACAAAAATTGACATTAAATATATATATATGTATTTCTCTTCAGATGATTGGTGTCTCTCTTTAAAACAGCAACCGATCTATTATTATTATTATTTATTTATTTCATCATTTTTCAAAATTTATATAATTTCTACCTGCACATTTTCGTTTCCATTATAGAGCAGCATGCATATAAAAGACAGTGTTTCCCGGACCACATTATCCTGGGGACGATTCAGGTGTTCCATGACGCTGATAACAACATCGAAATGATTCAGAGCATCTTGGACGTCAGAAATAGCCTTCAGTTTTCTGCAAAACAAAAACAAAGACGTATCAAAAATAATATGTTCATTTGTTTCATTACATTAAAGTCATTTGCATTGCAACTTAAAAAAGGATCAACTCTTAAAATAAATTGCAACAAGCAATTCATTTTTGTAAAATAAAATTTTATAACTTTTGAGCTCTGCACTCTTTAGTCCTTTAATCACATTCAAAAGAAAAAGAAAAAAAAAGTAAATACGTTTACTTAAAAGATATATTTTTAATGCATTTTTTATCAATCACTCAAACATTTCTCTTATTCTCTTCTGATCTCATGAAATACGAGTTTTTTGTTTTGAGTCTTTTAGAACCTATTAAGTGTTTAAAATGTTTAAGAGTTATGTATTGTGTACAAGTCGATAAACACTAGTTTCAACACACACTTGAAAACAAATATGAACATTACTAAGCTTATAATTCATCTCTCTCCCACCATATCTACTTTCTCTCCTTTTACAAAATATCAAAAATTACAATTTTATAAACCTTCCAGTAAGACTCACTTTCGATGGGCGGATACTTCAGCCTCCCAGTCATCTGGAAGCTTGACCACTTCATTATAAATCATGGCTCGCAGAAGCTGCAAACATTTAACATCGAGCTGTTCTTGTTCCAACTTCTCTTTTTCGCTTAGATGTGTTAACTGATTTGATATTCTGTTGAGGAAAAAGTCTTGTATTTGTAAACATGACTATTTACTTTTAAGTACCAGGATTAACGTTCTGACACTAAAATGAAAAGGTTAATCATAAAGTACTCGTAATTTATCAAATGAAATTATTCTCATGATTTTTAAACAGCGGAACTTCATTAATTTATACGGGAAAAATGCTAGAAGCATTATATTGGTAATTTGTTTTTCATAAATAAAGATAAGAGATCTTATTCGCAATATATATCATACAAATAATGTTTTGGCATATTTCTTGTAAGGTTTAATTCTTTTATTTCTATGTCATAAAATTAATATATACTTCGCTCGATATGTAGAAAATCGTACTTTAACTGCCTGATGAGTTTTTCGCTCATCCGATATCGTTGGATCGGATCTTTATTGCTAGGATCCATGAAACATTTGAGATGATCCTGAAACTCTTGACCCAATGGTAACTCCTCATCTCCGCCAACCTCAGAATAAACTGTAGAAGAGAAAGTGTTTTCTATAAATTCTATTTTTAAAATTTCTCATGTACAAAGTAAATAATAAATGTAGCAGTATTATATTTAGTCGAAAAGCATTCTTCTTCAGTACATTTAATTGGTCATAGGTGTCGATTTCATCCATATACTACATAGTAAACTGACAATGTCGAAATTATCTAATTAAAAAAGTGAATTCTATACTGACCTGCATTTGAATGGTAGTCAATCTGAGCCTCTATTGTATTTGGACCTCCATAAGCAATCCTCATGTTTACCGAAAACACATTTAGCTGTCTATTAATCTCTTCTTCCATTTCGTAGTAAGATTCATAAGACTGGTAAAATATTAGGGAGAGAATAGTCGTCAGTTTTATATTTCTTAATATAAATTCTAAAGTAAAAAAAACAAAATTGTTTTAAATTACAATTTATCAAGGAAACTCTTTGGTTTTGATATACATGTATGAAGCATGTATTTAGTTGAGAGGGTCTTTAACATTTATTTAGATTCATAATCTAAGACCATTGCATAAATGCAAAGTTTTATGTGACATTGGATTCCAATAAAAATTGCTTCAAATGAAAAAAAGGTATGTTTTGCTAAATGAATACGTGTTGTATACGTGTTGTGATACCTTTCTTGCATCACTCCGAATATCATGTGAACCCATTGTCTGTCCATATTTCTCATTGAATTCTTCCATGATCTAAAATAAAGGAAAAATTCTCTATAAGGTTGTTGTTTGATTTTTCCTAGTATCGATTTAGGAATACAACTGTATATACTGTAAAAGTGGTTATTTACACTGGTTGTTAAGTACGCGTTTGTGACTGTCAAACATTACGCGTGGGTGTAATATACGCGGTCGCACGAGTTACCGAGAAAAATTTACGCGATCATCGTTTACTAATATCGAGTTGTCCCCCTTTGAAAAGGTCAAGAAGTTTATACTAATGAATAAGAAAAAATAAATTAGAAATTAAACAAATAAAACAAAACAAAAAGAATTTATACTGGTCATCGATATGTGCATGTTCCTTGGATTGCTAAATATAACGGCGATCTGCACAGTCAAAAGCGGTGAAGTGTGAACAACCGGTGTACGCTTCATTGTAATTATTTACGCAAGCTCCAACTTCAAAGTGGGATCTACTTACCTGTATCTGGGTGGCGGGTGTTGACAATTAATTCAATAGGTATGTTTGAATAGTTAATTCAATAGATATGTTTGAATAGTGATTGTGAATTTGTGTAACATTTTGAACTAATTATTTGAAATTAAGAGGGACGTACTCCTACAATCATACAAAGGAAATGAAAATGAGAATTACGTTTTGAAGCTCTACTTGCGTGACGTTGCTTTAAGATATTTAATACGAAAATGCATTTTCATTGCACAATTTAATTAAAAAAAAAACAGAAACATTTTCATCACTGTTTGTGATGTATTTATCTACTCGCGTGCGTTCAATACCACGTTTAATACATGACAGGTTCGACCGGTATATCAGTATTAGAAAAAGTCTAGAATTATTCCAGAACTTAGAAATTTTGTGACCATACGCGCGGGGGTATTTTACGCGGTTCTAAGCTTACCGCGTAAGTAGTGTAAATTTCCCCCACGCGTAAATAACCACTTTTACAGTATATAAAAAAGGTAATGCTTATCAAAATATTGAACGTCTGTTAGTCGGATACTTTACTGTCTTTCAATTGCATAAAACTTTTAAGAAAAACATTATATTTATATGCGTAGTATTTTAATTTTTTTAGCCGATTTATTACTTTGACAGGAAGAGTAGACGCTGACAATAGTGACGTCATACAGGAAACCAAGTTCTTCATCTGTCTCTCTACGCATATCAACGGAGCAACTACCTCCATGAATTCCTGCAAATCATTTTAAAATCAGGCAAAATTGAACATGATTATCTTCTTCTGGTTTAACCATGTGTGTATGTGTGTGTGTTTTATTTTGAAAGTATGATTCAAAAAAGAAAAGAGCAAAATCTAAAGGTAAAGATCTGCATCATCCTTAAAACTCTGTTTGAATATATATATATATATATATATATATATATATATATATATATATATATATATATATATATACAGAGAGAGAGAGAGTAGTTTTGTAATCTTTTAAATTGTGATATTGTCATTATGCTCTACCTTAAATGAATTTGCAAGTTTATCCATTTTTTCTGGCTCATCAGGAAACAATGACGAATCAGGCTGATAAAATGAGCGACAGAAAATCTAAAAAATCAATGAGGGAAATACATGTATGAAATATATGGAGATAACGAACAGTATTCAAGCTCAAAAGTCCATTATACAATACAAAATAGGAGCAGAGCAAACACGGACCTCCAAACATCAGAGGTGGGATCAGGTGCCATGGAGAGTGAGCATCCCCTGCCGACCGGTCACACCCGCCGTGTGCTCCTTGTCATGATCAGGAAATAACGGAAAAATCCGTCGACAATTCAGTGTGTAAATAATGGCCTAACAATTAGTATGAAAAATGTCAGTCAGCATTTGACTCAATGATAAATTGTATTTGCTGACAAGGTCATTGTATCGACCATAGAACTTATGAAATGATGATTTTAAACGAGACAGCTGATATTCTTGTTTCATCAACTTATTTGTCAATAATTTACCTCGTTTTAGAAATTGTACATACGTAGAGCATGCTCTTGCGTATAGAATCAACTGAGAGATATATACCCCGTATGCAGGTGATGAAGGTATATTGCTGCATAAGTAAGGGAAGTTGACGATTGAAAAGTTAAAGTCATCACGTTTATCATAAAGCTTGGTTGTTAGATTACCATTAACGTCTTTTTCAAGTAAAATATCCAAATATGAAACAGATATGTCAGACTCTGTGGTATCTTTTATCTCAAGTTCACTAGGATATATTGTATCGACATAAGAATGAAAATAGCCATTGTTAATTGACAATACGTCGTCGATATATCTAAATGTCGAGTTGAAGGCCACAGCAAGTGTTTTCTTCTTTTCACGTGCAAGATTTTGGACAAATTCTGCTTCATATGAATACAAAAAAAGGTCTGCTAATAACGGGGCGCAATTGGTACCCATAGCAATTCCAATAGATTGTTGGAAGACCTGGTCTCCAAAAACCACATAGATATTGTCAATCAGAAACTCAAGCATCTTTTTAATGTCAACTTCAGAGTACTTGTGTGTACAATCAGAATGTTTTTTAACAAAATAATTTTGCAAATGACCAATGACAAGGTAAGTATATTTATGAGTTCCATTTTTATTGAAAAAGCAGCTATCAATGATATCAAAAAGCCTAGACTTTAATTTATCGTGGGGAATGGTTGTGTATAAAGTTGAAAAGTCGTAAGTTTTTAAGCTGTTGATTTTGGTAAAATCTTGTGATTTCAAATTTTCCAAAAGTTCCTTGGAATTTTTAAGTATCCACATCTGATTTACACCACTTCTCGAATATATTGTTGCACAGTACTCTTGAAGTTTCTCCTTCACCACTGTTAATATCTTAGTGAGGAGTAAAGATAGAGGCTTGGTTGAACATTTACTGGAACCCGCTATGTATCTTTGTTTGTAAGGATTTTTATGAAGTTTCGGAATCCAATATAAATATGGTAATTCGAATTCATTTTGGTTGTTTGGAATATTAAAAATATTCAAAAATATTTAAAAATTGGATAATAGAGACACATAATTAAATGCTTCAGTCTTCCGTACCTTTCCCATTTTGTATATTTTAAGTCCTTAACAATATCCTGTAAATTCCATCTCAAATGATAGTTTCCTTTACGTCTGAGGTAAACCCTATTTAACCCCCTGAAATCCCATGATGTCGACCAGTACTATTGCATATAAATCATTATTCAGACTTTCACAAAGGTAGATGAATTGTTTCCCTAATAAATGGTAGATTCCCTATAAGTAATTTTATCTGGAGGAATGATTTACCTGAAGAAATGGCATGATTCCATCAAATATATAGTGAAGCGTTCCCTGTGTCTCTTCTTCCTTACTCCCTGTGGTGTTACTGTAAAAGGGAATACATAAAGATAGTATACACAGTAAAATTATAAGGTAACAAAAAATCATTTTGAAAATATTTTTTGATATTAAAACTTTTAAGTATGGGAACAATATCATTCTAATATTAATGTGCAGTAGTAAAATTTTGCTTTTTCGATTTTTATAGGTATATGTACTATACTTCAATCTTAAAATACATTGGGGTTTTTTTTATTATTATTGAAATTAGAAATTTTCGTATTCTTATGAGAATTTTGAACAGTTAAAAAGTACAAAAACATAGAACTACTATCTATAAATTGCGAAAACTTGTACATGTAGTTGCAAATTCTCTCTGAAATGTATGAACGAAAGTTTACTTTTAAATAACAGTTATATTTAGTGAACATTTCAAACCTTAGCAAAACGCATGCTTTATAAATTCTTTTTGCTTTTGTTTTGTTTTGTTTAGTTTTTGGTAAGTTTATTCTCCATTGAACATAATCGATAATTTAAAACACATCATTAATTTCACATAATATGTAAATAAATAATACCACTTACATTGTATATGATATCCTTTAAGCATTGCAGAATATAAAATGTGATAGATAAGTACTTTATCAATTAGGTGCTTACATAAATTTCAGATCAGGCTCTTACTATACTGTATATAGTTTTGAATGTACAAGTCACTATTTTTTCCGTTATCAGAACTGTTGAACTAAACTTCTAAGAGGTTGTCAAAAAATAAAGTTATTTTGCAATTGAGTGATTACCTTTTTGGTGGTGGTGCTTTTAGAAGCATTTTGGTGTTTTCTGTGTTATCTTTCGCATACTTTGTTACACTGTCTAGATCCGTTGTTATCTCAGAAAGGTACTGCCACATTAAGCTGAAGGAAGAGGAAAATCATTCAACAATCAAAATCAGTTCATGCATTCTAGAACACACGAACTATAAATTTCATCTAATTAATAGTGTTTGTGTATATAACGTCATAATTTTGTTATTTATGATGTCAGAGTATTGATTTTTTTTGACACACGAGCACTCTAGATAATAAAGTTTCTAGGGATAAGATTTTTGTCACATTATATTTCTGTATAGCCTGGTAATAAAGAAAACATTTCGGTCAATGCTATTTTTGAAAAGAAGAAATTGCCGTTCGCCGACCACCGCTATTTAACACCCCTTAAATGTTGTTCATTAATGCACATGGCATTGGAACCTTATATTATTTAGCCAAAATGACAAAAATATCATTTCCCAATACTATGCCAAATATGAATAATTTTGGTCAGGTAATTTATGAAATATTTAAAAAGTTCGATTTTTTCTGGGACAATCCTCGTATTGTCATGTTTTTTTTCCGTTCTGAATATAGCAAAATCTTAGATTATGGGCATAGATTTCTGTATCTTTGAATTTATGTACGAATGTTTGCAGATACTTTTTTTGCAGCTACTACATTTTTGCCTAGTGTTTCTTTAGTATAATGCACTGACTTAAGTACATATGCAAGGGATATTCTCAAAATTGAGAGGGTAAATATTGATCATCACTCAACGCAATAAGACATGTTTTTTGGAACAGGTAGGTGTTTTTAACCGAGTGAATTTAGTATTATAACTTTCAAAGCAATTCCTTCTTTACTAGTTCTATGGTTTCATTAATTGATATAAACAGTTTATTTTCAGGAATAAAGAAATGATACCACAACAATATTTTAAATGTATTCTTCTACACTTCCTTTCCCTTTAATGTATCATTATGGCGGTAATATCCAATGTGGGGCCTTTATCATTGTGGTTCCGCTTACCTATTGTGAGTCATGTATCATTATGATTTTAATTACCTATATAGGGGCATGTGTCATTATGTAGCTGCTTGTCTATCGTGGGGCATGTATCATTATGTAGCTGCTTACCTATCATGGGGCATGTCACCAGCTCCACTCTCTATCATCCCACCTGCAGTGTTCAGGTAAACCCAGAGAAGAAAGCGGAGAAATGGAAGTTTGAAGTTGTTACTAATAATCTGATTTGTCAGTATTTTTAGAAGATCTCTGATACTGAAGATTGTCTGACAAATTGATTCGATGTGCCTGTTTTCACCCTGTTGGCGGAAAAAAAGTTTATAAAAATTCAAGTGAAGTAAAAGAGGCTGCATTAAGATATGTAAATGAAAAATATGAAACTTGAATCCTTCCTTCTTAATATTGAAATGACCTTGTAATGACTTTTTTATCGATTTACATATATATATATATATATTATCTGATCATGCTAACAATGGTGTCAAATTGCAAACTTTGAATAAATCGAGTTGCAGGGGATAAGACACCATGGTTTATATTTTGTAAAATAAGCGATATGACACTTAAACCAGTTCCAGAAAATGTGATGCCTTAAAATGGATTGCTGGTTTGTGAAATTAACTGATCATTCCTTTTTGTAAATTTTCTTGTTGTGCAGCCTTACCTCGGCACATGTAGCTAAGACATCCACCATAGAAATCAAGTACTGTAGTTCTGGGCGTCCTGTATTCGTTAAAACTTGCAGTCTTAAACAAAAGAAAAAAACTAATAAACGTTTGAAGCTTACCTGGCAAAAAAGAAACAGTAAAGGAAAACAGTAAAACTTTTCTACTCCGGACACCACTGGCTCCATAGAAATTGGTCGGATTAGACAACATTTTAATCAATTGGAAATGTTGTCAGGGACTTAAAGCTTATATCGAAGTAAACAAGATTTCGAAATACACAACATCAGGATCAGACAAGTTTTACAGTAAACCCAAAAATATTTGCATTAAAAAAAAACCCAGTGCATGTATCTAAAATTTAAGAGGTTACATATTCATTTATTTACCTTGCCCCTTCATCTTGATCAATCACTTGCGCAATATCGGATCTGTATTGCATGAAATACTGCATAACAAAACTTTGGTTTCTTTTTAATGGAAGATCAAGTTCTTCCACTTTCACAATGGCATTCAGCAAATCAAGAAACTGTGGAACATCTTCTTTATGGATTGATACTAGTGTCATAATCTTGTGAACCTGATAGGAGTGGATCTTCATACACGTGTTGGAATTTCCAGTGAAAACCTTCAAAAGTTTATGTGTAAGTTTCTTCTTTAGAAATAATATAGATACAATGTATTGTAAAAACATAATATTGTCATCATTCATTGATCATTTTACATTCTACTGATATGAAAATTTATGTTGTATAATTTAAAGTAACATGTCAACCGTTTACATTGTATTTTTCTATTTAACTACAATATGTTTAGTAAATGGAAAGTTTCTTCTAAGAAAAAGAATATTCATATCATTGCTGTAAAATCCATTACCTCTGTGATGCATTCTGCCAATTCTGCCTCTGCGCCTCGTTTCGACAGAAGCATGTCTAGTCGGTCAAACAGACGACCTTGAACGAGTTTGTTGTCTCTAGCCATCAATTTCAACAATGTAAATGCCCGCTGAAGAACCTTTTTCTGCCCTGTGTACTGATCCTATTATTAAATTATCAGCAAAGAATAAATAATTTTTGTCAAACTTTGTTGTCAAAATTTTACTTGTATTTCATGTGCAGTTAGAAGGATTGAATATTATTTTGTAAATGATAAGAAGATATCCATTGTATACAAATTATTTTATTAAATTTCAAATTTCATCATTCATTTGTGTGCTATTTGAACCCCATTGAAAAAAGTCTCAAACACTGTAAATGTTCGTATGAAATTCAATCTACGAAATGTAATGAAATGTGTATAAAGGATGAAAAATATTAAAGATTCAAACCAGAAGGCGAACGTCAATGTCCTGCTGAAGAATGATGAACATATCTTCAATTAAACCTGCAATTATTAATAAATTTTATAATAACATTAGATGCAATTTTGTCTGGTTTTATGTATATTTTTCTTTAAGGTAACGTTATGCATAATATGATAGGGTCAAATCACCCGGACTGAGATTTAAAAATAAGGTGTGTTTTGAACACATTTGAAAGCATTATATCACAGACATTGAATAAATATGCAGGAAGCTATTATGAACAGTATCCTGAACAATTACCGTGATTATATAAGATGCTCTGGTTCATTCCATGTGCTTCCTCTGGTTCCTTTTCTAAATGGCACAGTCTTAAAAAGCATTAAAAACAAAGTAAGTACGTTTTGAAACATTTTATTGATAGTGTGATTGCATTAAATTTTGAAAAATGTAAATTAATTTGGAAACTTGCATTTTAAAAAAAAAAACATTTCCTCATTGTTTTGCAATATTCCTCCCCCCCCCCCCCCTACCCTGGAGAAAAAGTTTTTTGATATGATTTGTGACTGATGACTTCCTATTATAAAGCAAAGTTGCACATACTAGTAATTTGCATGATACAAATACAGTCATATCCATATTTTACTAATTTTCAATATGAATGCTTACGATATGAGTTTGTCTAACATGGCGACGAGCTCTTCTGCCTGCTGGTTGTCTAGTTTAGCAGACGACAGTCGCCTTAGGCTAGGGAGTAAGGTCTCCAAGGTTTCCATCACAGCCTCAGATTTGTCAGTTATGAGTACCTGACATTGAAAAAGGGAACATAGTTACTCACAATGCCTTTGCAAAATATTTCATGACAAGTTGTACCCATTTCTTGTAGACATAAACATATTAACATGTATTTTCCTCATGCACAAACATGGTGGACACAAAATACTTTAAGTGTATCTAAAATTTATTCTGTAAGGGAAAATTGGTTTCGTAAATTCAAAGCATGTTTGAATATGAAATTGTGTCTTTATCATAAGTTTGCATATTGACGTCGATTGAAAAGGAAACTGCATATGTGTATACAAATAATACAAAACACAGCATATATCTAAAATGTTAGGAAATTTGGATTTAAATTTATTAAAATACCTGAGCTTGAACAGTATTTGTGAAAAGCTGGTGGTGGGATGAGAAGTATCTGTTTAAGAGATGCATGGACATCCTGATCATTTCGTCATAGTGGTAGAAGGACAGGTCCTAAAAAAGCATTTCATAACATGTATGTACTTCAACAATTGAAATTTGCTTTTTAGTTGGTATGTTATTTCGAAGATTAACAGTAAAAGACCGCGATAATTATAATTGCAAATTAATATTTTCGGGAAAAAACACACTTGCATTTCCTTTCAAGATAAAAAAGATTTATGATACTAGGTAATCTGTTTAAGTTTATTTTCTGTTCCCGATACACATTTTTTTTAATTCATCATTATTTATTGAATATTAAGATCAATATTTAATAATCGTCGTTTCCTATATTTTAAGTCTGTGGACCAAAAGTCAATTGATTCAAGTACCAATGCAAAATTGTTCTCCCCCCCTTCTCTCTCTCTCTCTCTCTCTCTCTCTCTCTCTCTCTCTCTCTCTCCAGTGTTATAAATACATGTTGTTTTTAACATTTTGGTGCAGCTTAAAGGCCTACCTTAAGGATGTCTACCACTTCATAATTCTTCAGAAAGGATGTCTGCTCAAATATATCTCTCAACTTTTTCAGGGCGGACTTGCAAACACTGAATAGGTTGGACATGATTATATTTAAAAGAACTACATAACTCAGACCTCCTCAAAACTCAAAAGAAAATTAAGTTCATCAGTGAAGTACCTAAAAGAATATGTTTTCTTGGCCGAAACTAGACATTTAAATTTTGACAACTAATAGGGAAATTGTTCTGACCGAAAAATTGGCAAAACCAGCAATGACAGGGGTAACAAGTTTTCTTACAATATCATTTAACTTTATTTGTTGTTTAGATGAACAATGTAACATTGATCTACAATACACCTTTTGTGATAATATATTGTTTGTTTACATAAATTGGTCGAATCTCTGAAATTTTCCTAAACAACATAACTGTCATTATGCAATCAATTCAAAGAAGTCATGAGTAATTGTACTTGCATTATTCGCTTACCTGTGCTGAGAATGTAAGTCGAAATTTTCGGATAGAAGGGGACCCAGTTCAGGTGGTGAGCTGCTCGGATTATTCGCTTGCGTGTGTGTAACTTTGAACATACTCATAAATCTCTGAAATCATTCATTAGTTAAAGATAAACAAAATCATTGAAGTGTTTTTGCAGTGGGATATATATTTGTAATACAGTAATCTCTTAAATCATACATTGATGCAGTAGTCTTATCAGAAGAAAACTATAAATATCTGCATCTTCAAATGAAAAAGAAAAACTGAAGATGTAATTTTCATGTAAAAAAAAAATTCTGAATCAAGGAAAAAAAGTACAGACCTCCATTCGAAGGTTGAAAATGTAGTTGAAGAACAAATCGAGTGTGTCTAAAGCCCTACAAAATAGAAAATAATGTAAAGAAAGATGTAAATAGTAAAAAATGAAAAAAAGGATTTTCAAAACTTATGAAGTAGGGCGCTAAATATTCTAAATTAGGAAAGATATATGGATGGAATATTTTCTTTTGAAATAGAGAGGAAATTTTCACATCGTTGAATTCAATATAAGGACTTTTTTCTTTCTAGCAAAAAACTTGACGGTAAAAACAATAATAAACAACTAATAATTAAGAACCATGGCTTACTGGCACTTGGCTTCCACAATAGCTGAGGTTTCTTCACTTCTTTCAAATCTTTCTTTTGTTCTAAAGGCTTTCAGAACGTCGTCTGCGTCTTTTCCTGCCGTGGTTTATGATAGACGTTAATTAAAAGTTTGTATTGATATAATAATCAAATTTTATATTTTAGTAATAAATTTTTAAGAATTTATTTAGTATATTGATAAAATGTAAATATTATTTTTAGTAGAATTCACAATATTTTTTTTTCCGTTCTCTTACATAAATGTAATAAAAAAGTTTCCCACGAAAAAAGATAATTAAATAAATTTTAAAGTGATTTGAATAAAGGGTAGTATTACCCGTGACATTCGGATACGGTTTGTCGTTTCTGCCGTCAATCAGGGACATGAGTGGCTCCAGCAACTTTTTGATATCCTCCGGTTTGTAGTAGAACCCAAATGATACTAAGTGGTCAACCAATCTTAGAACCTAATATGAATTCAATACCAGTTGCAAAACAAATGTTTCTGGACTATTTGTCATTATTATCGTGTAAAATTATTGAGACATTTTTATCTAAAGCTCTAGCTTTTTAAGCCTACTTTTTGCATAAGAATGCTGTAAATATGGTAAAAATGAAGGACAATTCATTTTTATTTCAATCCTCCATGATCTGTTATTTTCTTTTCATTTTCTATTATGGTTCTCTTGGAAACCCTAACCTGTTTGACAAGCAAATTGTTGCCAATGGTCGATGCCGTCATATCGCCATTACTAGTCAGGAAGTTGGAAATCCACTCGCTTAGCATCGGAAAATATTTGTACGTCTTAGACTGTGTATTGTCAACTCGATCCTGATAAAGAAATATTGAGGGGAAACGTGCTTTTCTTTAGATATGTAAAGACAAAAAAACTATGTTAAATAGTTCTTTTTAAATTATAAGAAAAAGACATTTATCTTAACCTTTAACTTTAATTAAATGGCTATCATCAGATTTAATTATAATTATAAACAGGTTTATTAAAGTGAAATTGAATGTGAAGAGATACAAGGTAAAAGAGTAATTGTGAGGTAAGTATATTCACTCAAACCAGATTCAAGTTATAAAGAAAGTAAATTTTGTGCAATATTAACATAATAAAAAGAAAAACTCGTAGAATAAAGTCAGTGTTCTGGTACCGTATTTCTTATCAATCTGCTACTCTACAGAGAACAAATTTTAAAAGATTTTTTTGATGATGTTGTTAAAATCTACATAAACTAAATATAGGATCTTGATTATTTACCGTTATATCTTTAGAATAGTTCTGAAGTAAACCAATCATAAAATATAAAAATTTCCCTTGCCATTTCTAAAATGTTTTAAAAAAAGAACATTTCAGAACATATTATGAATATATTTTGATTAATTTGTACCTCAACTGAGTCGATGTCATCATATATGTAGGACAGTTTGACTCGATCCACTACAGAATGATTATCGCCAATATCCACAAACATAGCTGAAATGTTTTAAAATATCAATAAAATGAAATGAATGACTATGAATTGAACAAGAGGCCCAAGGGCCTTAACGGTCACCTGAGTATAATACAACAATTTAGGGTATCCATAGAGTATGAAACGAACTGAAAGGTGAAGCTTTGTTGCTCAAAAGCAAGAAAAATAGGGTGATCAGGATCAACAAAATAATAGTAGTAATCTAGTAGTAGTAATCTAATAGTAATAATCTAGTATTCATTAACAGTTCATAAATAAGGTTCTAATCTGTTCCCCATTTATCACTCTCACCAGACAGTATAAAAACAAACTATCAGTGCTTCTGTACTCTTTTAATTCCTTGTTGACATTGTTGCATTGTTACATTGGCCTCTCTTGGTCTTTGATGAACATTTAGTAAGACAAGTTATTTTTGCCTCATTTTTATTTATCTATTACTTACAAGTCTACCTGATCATTAAAACTATGAAAGTACTTTTTGTATTATACAATAAAAATTCTTCAATAATTCTCTTATTCTATTAACCTTTCAAGTACATTATTTACAGTGATTAGTTATCACACGTAAATGGCAAAGGGGAATAACTAATCTCAGTAGAATACAAATTAATAGAGCTCTGGCCTGGACCAGAACACTTGACCAAATGGTCCTGATCATGTTCAAAAATCTGGTAAAAATACCCTTCCTTATTGAAACTTTTACTCTTCTTGCCTTTGATATGCCCAGGTGCAGAGAAGATTTTTAAAGCATTTTCACTATATAATAAATAGAGCCCCGCCCTAACATTAGAACCTCTGTTCCAGGGGTCATGAAATTCACAATTTTGGTAGAGTCACCCTTGCTTATCATAATCATGTATTTGTTTATATAATAACCAGGAGTAGAGAAGAAGATTTTCAAAGAAATAATGCACTTTCACTATATGATCTATATAGCCCCGCCCTACCACCAGAACCCCTTACCATGAGTTCATGGATTTCACAATTTTGGTAAAGTCACCCTTGCTTATCATAACTATGTATTTAATTTGTTTCAATAATACCCAGTTGTAGAGAAGAAGATCTTCAAAGAAATAATGCACTTTCACTAAATGATCTATATAGCCCCGCCCTAGCACCAGAACCCCTGACCCTGGGGTCATGAATTTCACAAATTTGGTAGAGTCACTCTTGCTTATCATAAGTATGTATTCAATTTGTTTCAATAATACCCAGGAGTAGAGAAGAAGATTTTCAAAGAAATAATGCACTTTCACTATATGATCTATATAGCCCCGCCCTAGCAACAGAACCCCTTACCCTTGGGTCATGAATTTCAAATTTTGGTAGAGTCACCCTTGTTATCATAACTAGGTATTCATTTTGTTTCAATAATACCCAGGAGTAGAGAAGAAGATTTTCAAAGAAATAATGCACTTTCACTATATAATCTATATAGCCCCGCCCTACCACCAGAACCCCTGACCCTGGGCCATGAATTTCACAATTTTGGTAGAGGGCTCAATGCTTATTACAATCATGCCAACAGTTTGACTGCTTGATGTCCAGGAGTAAAGAAGAAGATTTTAAAGATTGCATTAATTTTGATGGTTTTGGCCCCACCCCTCAGGCCCCAGGGGGGCAGGGGCCACGAATTTCACAATTTTTGTTCCCCTTCACCCATAGATGCTATATGCCAAAATTGGTTGAAATTGGTTTGCTGGTTCCAGAGAAGAAGCTGAAAATGTTCAAAAGTTTACGACCGACGAACGACGGACGACGCACGACGACGGACGAAAAGAGATAGCAATAGGTCACCTGGGTGACTCAGGTGACTTAATAAAGTAAATTTTTGACCAAAAAAAAAACTAGTTAACAATGAAAAAAATATAGTAATAACTTTTTTCATTAATTCTTGTTGGATATGATGAAGGTTTATTCGCTTAACTGTGCCTGCATCAAGAAAGAGCCTTAATATAATAGCTTCCACTTACTAATGATAAGGTCACAGTACTGCGATCTAAGTTTGTCTGGAAGACGTGTGTCACTCAAACATGTAAACGCCTCCTCCCAGGTCAGATAGTTCAACTCTTGGGTTATGACTTTGATTGAAAATTCATTCTGACCCTTAATAGGTAAGGTAAAATTCAGCTTTAAATTTTAGTAAGTACATAAATAGAATTACCATGTATTAAAAAAAACAGTAAGCCTTTTATAGTCCTTTTGCTTTGAAACCATTTTTTTTAATTTTTACGAATATTTTTATGATGTCCAAAGAATGACCGCCCCCAAAAAGATTTTAAAGCAGAATAATCAATTTATATTTAAATGACGTAAAAGAAATTGTTACTGTTTTAAAAAAGAAACTGTGGTTTTGGAGAAGAAATTCATATGTACGTGACAAAGATATCCAAACAGTTCTAGTTGATGCTCCAGGAAAAGGTAGGATTCGCTGGAGTTACTGTCAGCAAAGTTAGACAACTCAGTCCACGTTCTTCCTTGTGTTGTGGAAACATAAACCACGCCATTCTCTTTTCCTATCTTTTGTCCAAGGTCGGTGTAATAAACACAATTCTGTCAAGAAAAGAGGGTACTTTAATATCAATGATGAAATATAAGAAATAGTGGACAATTTGTCTTTTGCAAATAGACGCCGTTTGTGTAAGACAGAGAGAAACACAATATGCAAATCCAATCAACATGACGGGATTTTCACTGACACTCAGTTTTGCAGAGATTATCAAACCTTAATTTCACAATTTTAATTATATTTAAATTTAACCTTTTTTATAACTAATGAATGTCTAGAAAAAAACCTAACGAAACCGGGAAAATTCTAAATTTTCCATCAAATTTTCATATTGCTTATTTCTACACTTCACCAATTGCTTCTACCTTCTGAAGTTTATAGAGGAACAAAATATTTAGAAACAATCACCCTCTTTTCAAACAATTTTAACATACCTTGCTGCCTCTCATTAGCCACGCCTCAGTAATGTACTTTTGATTGACAGCAATAGACACGCCGTCACATACACAAAGTACACCAAGCAAGTCTAAATATCTGTGATTCTGGGAAAACAAACACATATAAATGATTTCTTATTGGCTGATAAATCGCATACATTTAACGCAAAACAATTTTCATTCACATTTTAATCTACATTGTAAGTTTTAGAAAACAAAAATCTACATCTAGAGATATACAGAGATGCATGATGTTTTTGAAAAGTTTTGGAATCCACTGCTGACAACAAGTCTCTAAAATCGAACACAACCAACCTTGTCTCTTTGTAAGAGGTCAACAAATTTGTCGATGTGATCCTTAGAAATTCTATCAACAATTTTTCTGTTGTCACGGATAAGTTCCATGACCATGTGGACAGCGTTCAAACCAATTTGACCCTGAAAAGATCCAACGATCATGTTCATATATGTATATATTTACCAACTTAAACTTCCTGAAATATTTTAAAAGTTTCATACTAAGCAGATAGATTAATGCACGTAGCTGAAAGAACAATACACGTAGCATAAAAAAAATCATTGACATTTACATACCTCTCTGAGTTCAAACTGCGACTGGAAGAAGTCGATGTATTTGGCGATGTAAAGTTCGTTCTTTCTGCTGTCTCCCATAAGATACACATACATTACACGATACGACTCAACGAACAGCTTTGTCATGTGACTAGAATAAAAGAATGTCGGTAATAAATATTAAAGTTATAAACATAGGGAGATAGATATCTACCATTTCAGAAACTCTGAAATGGAAAGTAATAGACTTCTGATGGATTTTTCAAGTAATGACTTGCTTTAACCCAGTCATGTTGTACAATTTTCAATGTAGCTTAAATATGATGACAGGATTAAATGAATGAGTAAACTGAAAACTTTCTGACTCTTGTGCACGAAAAAAAAACTTACATTTGATCAGCTGAGCCCCTAAATGGTATTTGCAAGAGCCTCACAAGCAGTTCTACAATCTAGAAAGTAAATCAATAAATAAAACTCATCAAATACATCTTATCTGATCTAAACATTGTTTTTTTGGACTATGATTTGAATTGAAATAAATAGGATAAAAGATGTCAATGAATATTATATTTAGTTTCGCTAACGTTTCCTTGAATTAAACACGTTTGAAATAATCTTGTGATTTTTTTATTAAAATGGATAGATGTAATTAGTCACACGACCAAATTTCATTTGATATACTAGTACTAGACCAATATTTCTAATATCAAGAGAGAAGTTATGACATAATTTCTTAATACTGTATTTTTAAAAGAAATGTTTGAATTTAAAAAAAAAAACAAACAAGTAAGATCATAAAAACACACTCACTCTTAGGTTTCTCAGTAACTTTTGTCTCCTCTTGATTGGATACCCGTTGACTACCATAAAGGCACTTAATTCTTGTAACGCCTAAAAAACATGTTTATGAAGTGAAAATTGTGTATATACAGGTTTCCACTGAATAGCTCTGATGAAAATAGATTTACTAACACATTCAGCATCATGGGCCATCTTTGCGTTTAGTTTTAGTCCTGCCTTTTTCTGAAAATGAATCAAAAGGCATCATAAAAGACTGTCAATCAACAAAATATATCAAATTTCATGTAATTTGATAAAGTGAGAGAAAAGTAGATTTTAGAACAAGAGTTAAACATAGCTTAATTAAAAACATGTCTACTCCAAAAAATGTAGATTTTAAGTGTACATGTATTTTAAGTGTATTTCAACAAAATTGATAATAATTTAAAATACATGTCTATGTGAATTTGTTTCAAGTAGTTTAATAGAATAAAATTTAGGATTCTTCTTTTGGTATATTTGTATATGAAAATATATATTCAGTATTTGCTTTTGTATATATTATTTACATCAACTATAAGTTTCTGTATAAATGGAACCATTCCAGCCATGTAGTTGAAGATGCTGACAAATTCCTCATCCACTTTCTGTATGGTGAAGGCGTCATCATATTGCATCTCTTCTATCGTATTAATCTAAGCAGGCAGATGAAAAAAATGTGAATCAATGGCACTGCATCTTTGGGGAAAAACTTGTATAATCAAAAGTTGGTTCTTGTTAAAGTTTTTCCACAAATGAAATAACATGAAAAACAATTTTCAAGCTTTTTCTTTTAAATGTTACATATGTGAAACAAAGTGATCTGAAGATGGTTATAATTCTAGAGAAAGTAGTTAATCCATTTTTTAAATATATTTAACCAAATCAAACATTGGATGGCATTGTTAATTGACATGAATTTGTATTGATAAAAACTTACATTTGAAATAAAGGTCTTATGAACGTCCTCATAATGAAATCGCACACAGAAAAAAAAATCATGCTCGTTTTTAATACTATCAATTGTCATACCTCTTTCAGTTCCGCTGTGCTCCACTTTAATGATGACATAGATTGTGTGTTATCATCTCCATCTTTCTGCTTTTTCTTGTATTCTTCTGTTTCATGTAACGTTAATGTATTTTTATTTCATAACAGACAATTTAATCGGTCATACTTTCATGTCTGATCGGTAAACTGTATTAATCAGTAGGCTTGTTTTATAGACTTAAAGTTAAGCTATATTTGTTTGTTTTTTTTAAATATCTATGGTTAATAATTGTCTTTGCTATCATTTATTTTCATATGTGCTTAAATGCAGGACGGTTCATCTTATTGTGATGAATTTGATAAATTATAAAAAATCAAATTCATGAATATATTCTTTGTACTCTTTAAGTCTTTGACAATATTAAAAAATCAAATACCTTTCTATATAGTGTTTCTTTATTGGTTTGATTTAAAACAGTTAATAAAAAAGTTTTGTACAAAGCATGATAAGACAACTGGCACATTACTTATAATAGCCTTTACTATCTTTTGCCAGCTATAGCTTTCTTTATCTCACCTGTTCCTCCGTGAAGCCAGCGTCCTGTTACCACGTGTTCGATTCGACAATAACTGTCTGGGGGTATGTCGTCATTTTCCTGTATAACAATAAAACAGGGGATATATATGGTCTCAAAAATTTCCTTTAAGACTGGAACATTTGCGTAAGACAGGCAAAAAAAGAATTTCTATTACATTTAAAGCCCAGAATAAAATGGCAAAACGAATAATACACGTCTCCTTATCAAGAGGAGGGATCCAATGTTTACGTTATCAAGCTTATAAAAAATACACTATTAGGTTCAAATTGTGTTAATTCTGAAATAATTAAGGAAAGAAAAAAGGTGAAGACAAGGAATCTAAACGTAAGTTGTCTCGAAAAATTTTTGCACTATTTCAGGTTTAATTAAAATTTATTCTATTTATCTGTTTTATTAATGACTTCGACAGATTAATTGAGATTTCAAGGCCCATCCCTTTCACTTTTCCATCTCTCCAAAAATTCTTCTTAACAACCACAAACATTCATGTAGTCAATTCTACATCGTACCCTTATGACAGGATGTAGCCTGAACACAGTAGTGGGATCTAGATGGTCACTGGTTAAGGTCACATGACCGTCCTTGACTGTCAAGTATTTTCTTGTGCACATATGAATGATTTTACACTGCTGTTCCCATTTCAAAACGCCTCCTACAAATATAATAACCGTTATATGTTTATATTTACATATTTACATGTATATCATAGAACCTAATTCTTTACCTTTTCATTGAAAAGAGAGAGATTTTACTTATATTATAAATACTGGAATAAGTTCATGCTACATTCGAGTGTTTTAAGGGTTTCTTTTATGTAACCTACCAGAAACAGGTCCTTCCTGTCGTTCTATCTGCCAATATGTGATTGCGGAGGAGCTTGGGAATAAGGTTTTAGGAATTGTCTGATCCATTGGTCTTAGCCTCATGTGAACTAATTAATGAAGTAGAAAGTGTTACTTCAGCCGAACTAGAGTGTGGATGAAATCTGTTCAGAAATGAGCTTTAATAACGATCGACAAGGTTGTACGTAAGTGGAACATTTATCTTCAAGAAAAATACAAGTTACAAGGTTCTATTATTTGATAGATTTTTGTTTAAATTTGGATGGAGTTTATTAAAATTGTATAATCGGGTGTCATAATTAAAGGAAGAGAAATTAATTCAGTTGGAAAACCAAAGTCTTATTGTATATCATGGATAATCGGTTTTCCTTTTATGATGGTGTCTCTACGTGTTTGTTTCATTGATTACCATCTTCTAAAAGTTCATCATCAAACAGCCCCGATGCCACTAAATAGGCCTCCATTTCCTTGTGGTAGAAGCGAATCAGATCCCCAAATTTTATTTTAGTGCTGTCCCCAGATGAAGGTTTATACTTCCGGCAGATCGTGAAGCCAGACTGCTGAACCGAAACATTTAGTTCATGACTGAAATGATATTTAAAGAGATTAACAGTATAAAACAGATATTACGATCACTAACTAGCAACCAATTTTACTTCCTTTAATTCTACATCAAATAATATTTATTGTTATTTTTTTTTATTTTGCTTATAGGCGTCTGTTATTTATTTATGGCTTCATTATTATGTATTTTTCGTACAATGCGTATGGTCAACAGGCTATTTTATCTGTGATAATATTCATTAAAACAAGTATGGAATTTGAAAGACAAAATGACTATATTGATAAATCAATCTCAAGCAGTATTATGAATACAATAATATACCATTATGGACCCTTTGATGGTGAATATGATTTGTTATTCACCAGAAAAAATAAAAAATTTGACCGAAGCAAAACCTCGATCAATATTGATATTTTTCTCGTGTATATCAAATTCTGGTGAATGCCAAACAATATTCATCATTTAAAGTGTCCATGATTGAAAAAGATTGCAGTTTATGAAGTAAATTGTAAAGCATATACATTTATACATAATAACAGTGCTTTACCGTGTGTTCTACTTTTGAGATATAGACAAAAGTCGATGGTTTGCATGAATTTATCGATGGGAGGGAATTTGAACAAATAATGGCGGCGTGATAAAAACGTAAAACAAATTATACTTTAACTTTTACATTTATGCTGCTTTTAAAAACTTTCGAACTCGATCTTGCCAGCCTCAGCACTTTGTTTTCATTTCTTGACTAAATTTGAAGTATCTGTCTTGTGTGAGAATAAAATAAACAGAGCCCTAAAACAATACCTCGGGGTTAAATGTTTCTGAACTAAACAATTCATAGAGGAAGATGGTACTTTTACCTTTTGCTATAGACGGACAACTGACCGAGGAAGGATTTGCTGACGTGTAGGTACGAGTCTGGAGACTTCACACTCTCCAGAACAACTTGATCATCAACTTGGACCTAAAGAATATGACACATATCACACAATAGGAAAACTCATATTGAAATGGCAATTTAAAAAAGTATACTTGAGACAATATTGTGAACTCCATTAATTTCGATACGAGAAAAATAGTGGTCGAATGTTTAACATTCTATTCCATCTAAATGGTCTTTGTTCTTCGGAATGAAGTCAAAAGAACCAATCTTGAAATAAATCTGTAACTCATTATCAGATAACTTCACAACAAATTTATTTTTATGCATTTAGCGGCAAATACTCCCTAAATTGCAAATTTTGTAGAACTTTAAGGATTCTGGATCATACTAAATACTAAGTTAGATAATATAATGAAGTTCAACTTCGTTGGAAACTCCAAGCGATATTTAAATCATCGAAATGAGCATTTAGCTCAATATTCGTACGCATATATATCAAATCAAAAGAAGTTTGTACATCTGTTGTATTCCGGAATGACAGAAGAACAGAATGAAGGACATGCATATTTGCAATATTATTTGTCTAGAGCACAGGGATGGAAATCATACAGTGCCGTTTGAAATTACTTAACTATTTCTCAATCTCAATGGCAATGTCCTAATTTTAATTTGTAATCTATATTTTTCTCGTATGAAAAAAATGCAGATAAGCATATGAATATTATGTCTAAAAAAAAAAAACCCTTACCACATCTCCTTCTGCTTTGACTTTATATCTCGGCATTAAACGGAACAGCGCATGCTTTGAATTCTCTTCCTTCAGTTCCACCTATGATAAAAAAAATATTTCAATTGGAATGCGTCATAATAATTCGTGATGACGTTAAATACGGCATTCATTTTCAACTTTCCACCAAAACGAAGTTCCTGTTTGGAGCCAATTTTATTATCATAGATAATGATATTCTCCTTTGATTGAAACTCTGAATCTGTATCTCTATTTACATGTAATAAGACATACCGCCATGTTGTTTGTTTCTGTGTCTGATGTTTTTGTTGTACTGACATGGATGTACTTATTCGTAAAGAGATGCCGTAGCTGGAAAACAAATGTAATTTTGAGTGATTAATTAAAATTCGTTGTTTTTACATAACATTACAAAATACAAATATAAATATATTTGTTAAAAATGCATATAAGTTTTTTTTGTTCAAAATTTACCTGATGTGCAGACTAATTTACCCATAAATTTCATTGACTCTCTATTCATGCTTTAAATACGTCAGTGCAGCATAATGAAAAACTCTTAATTGTGTATAGCATAACTTCTAGTTTTCTGATTATTTACCTGTATGATTTGGCCATAAAGAACCTTCTTTCCTTGTTGTCTCTTTTGTTCCAAAATGTTGTCGTCATTTTCAGCCTCAGCAGCGAGCTTTGAAAAATTCCATTACATTGTTTACTTTTTACTTTGAGGGGAAAATATATTCAACACATAAAGGGAAAATACATTCCTTTGATAATACACAGCATCAACAGTAAATAAAAAAAAATACAATACAAAGAATTATACATATGCTTAAGAAATAGCATTAAACACTTTGCTTTAAGAGGGCTGGATGATCATGGCCAATTTTTACTATTCAAAGCTCCTGAAAAGGACAGCACTGCATAAAAATATAGGAAAACGTTTTACATATGATATAGTTTTATCATATATGTGGTTTTCATTTACTAATTAATAATGTATGGATGTAAAATCCTATTTCACATTTTTAGGTAAATCTGTGAGATAATTTTGGACCAATGAGTCTCCTTAAAAATCATTTAGTTGATTCTTTAATTTCAATCCACGAACTACAATTGTGCAAATATGACATCATATTTGATATATATTATTTATTATTATTTGATGATATCACAAACTATTTGAGGAAGGGGAGAAGGCTATGTAAACATCTTGAAAACAAATATATTTTCAACAAAGCAGAAGAAAAACATTAAAAGTTTTTGGGTAAAATGTAAGTTGTATTTAATTAAATAAGAGTTAAACCTTATATCTTTTAAAGAAATACATCTGAATGAATATAAAGGATGTTTTATTTTGTCAAGTTTTTATATCAAAATTTTACAACATCGATTGGGTACACGTTTTTTATCTTCTTATAAATGTATGGCAATAATTATCTACATATATGAAAAAAAAAAACTTAATTTAATTTGATATGCATTATAAGAATCGTTAAGAATATAATGAATTAACCTTCAAATAAAATTGCAACACTTTATTGCAAATGGAAGTATGCATTTTGAAAGTACACGCCACTTTTTTTAAAAACCTTTACATTATTTGCACACATGATCCCTTTTTCTGTTAAAATATTTGTTTGAAAGAAAATCAGACATTCATTCTTTGTCAACTCAAAATTAAATTTGAATAAAAAAATATGTAATAAAAGATCAGGAAATATGCCCACCCTCAGTATTTGCTCGGTTACGCACCTCGCAAGCTCGGTCCGCTTTACTTTGCATACTCCAGGCGGGCATATTTCCCGATAAACAGTCAGTGAGCTATATGTATTATTTTAAAGAGTCGTCATCATACAATCACGCATCAAACAATGAGACATTATCCATTGGTTCTGATGGAATTCTGTTGTGGGCATCTGTTGAGTCGGTAAGGCTACATTTATTGCAATTAACACCCATCACTGACTTGGGTACTTAAATTTGTGCAAATTAGTAAAATCCAGAACAATAAATAGTACACAAATTGCCTTTATCATGAATTGTGTGGAGATAACGAACAGTATTCGAGCTCAAATGTTGATTAAACAGTACAAAATAAGAGCAGAGCAAAAACGGACCTCTGAGATATCACAGGTGAGATCATGATCAGGTGCCATGGAGGAGTGAGCATCCCCTCATCAAACTCTACTCAAAATTAAATTTGAATAAAAAAAAATCCTTCCTGAATTACGTATTCTTAAAATACTTAATAATAAAAATAAGCATTTTCTGTGTTTCCGAAAGAACACGAAAGAAAATTGATAATTTTTATTTTTAAACAGTATTTCAGTTCGCGTGTACAGACACTATTGTAGACAAAGATTTGTTCTGAATTCAAACATTCGATTTAAATCGGTTACTTTGATTTTTACCGTAATCAACTACAGACTGCATTTGGTCACAATACACTGCCCGGTATTAACATGCGTTTGATAACATGACCTTGGGTCATACTTAATGGCTTAAAGCATTTAATTTAAACTCAAAATATGCATAGCTCACGTGATGACCTCAATACTCTATACAATGATATTTAGGGATTACGGTTGATCTTGCTTTGATGGAAATTTGCCATTTAACTTTAATGCAATATTGTATTTGGATAACCAACCATATGCATTAACTTAAAGTGAAACCACTAAAAATAAGAGAGTATAAAATTCGTAGCATATCAAGAAATATTTTTTACAGAGGACAGACGTTTATACATATTTTTTTCAAACAAATATACATAACGGATTCTAATAAATATTTTAACAAGCCTCTTTCTTTACTCCTCACAAAAAATTAACAGCTAGCAGCGAAGAAGCTTCAGGAGAACTGTGCATTAAAATACTCAGTATTGGATAAGTGGTGTTCATCATTTGGATACTTAACAGTAAAAACTATAAGAAACGTTCAGAATTTTTTTTAACAAAATGAGTAACATCAAAACGTACGACTTTTCAAAATTATGGTCGCCCGCGTGGCACAGTGGTTAGAGCGTCTGCACTAGAGTCGCGGAGTAAGGAGCTGATCTTTACATCGCGGGTTTGAATTCACTGCGAGACGTGGAGACCGGTCCTTTGGATGAGACCGTATAAACCGAGGTCCCGTGTTGCAGTAGGTGTTGGCACGAAAAAGATCCTTCACTGCTCAATGGCCCTGAGTGCCGAGTATAGGTATAAATTTGCAGCCAACCACCGGCAAGTGGTGGCGTCCCCATATGAGTGAAAAATTCTCGAGAGGGACGTTAAACACAAACAAACAACTATTCCTCATGATAAAGTAAAGACCAGCTTTTTGACATCATAGACAACTGTTTTTTCAATAAAAATGGAATTCGTAATTTGCATAAGTTGTCATTGGTCATCTGCAAACTTTTCTTTGTTAAAGATACATGTGTACTCTGATTCTACAAACAAGTACTCCAAGGCTGTTATCAAAAAATGCTTGAGTTTCCTATTGATAATATCTATGTAATCTTTGAGGACCAGGTCTCTCAAAAATTTGCTGGAATCCCCATGAGTACTAACTGTACCCCTTTATAAGCAATATACACATTATTCCTGATGATGAAAATAGAAAACAACTGATAGGGCAGTTTGTTATAAGCTTCATATCCTTTTTTCATTAATGGAAGTTTCCTAGTTGCAGTTTTTCACACATATTTTTGTCACAGGATTAAAAAGGCTGTGCTTTTGAAACAACAATCTTTTATTAATCTTAATGAAAAAGGTGAAGATAACAAACAGTGATCTAAAAAAAAAAATCTTCAAACCATACAAATCTGGAAACAGGGCATAAAACACGAACTTAACATATTTTAGTTTCATAGCTGTCAGACTCATTATTAAAATTGTTCCATTTGAAACATTTCTCAACTTGAAATTAAATGGCAAATAAGCAGATGTTCTATTGCAGATTGTTTTCAATAGTATTACACGTTTAACTGTTGAATGCCTAGATTAACATTTTTGGTCGAAACATTTTATTTTGAAATCTCGTATCATGAAAATTTGAAAAATTGAAACTTTGTTATGATAACAAATATCTGAAAAGAACAAGGCATGATGACTCCTTCTTCTCTCTTAACAACTCTGTTTTGCTAACACTCAAAAGAATCTTAAAAACAGACATTTATGGTAATGCTTGTCTCAAAATTAGAGTTGATCTTAGTTCATGACGCTTACGAGAGTCCCAGAAAAATGAAAAAAAAAAAAAACCCATCACATTTCCTCAACTGTATGTTATTCACATCTGTACTTCGTTTATTTTGCAAAACTTATTCTAGCTTTTTCATTTTTCCCTTTTCTGTATGCCCATTTGACAATAATGTTGTAAAAGCAAATTCCAATTATTTTATGCAGATATACATGTATTATACCTTTGCCCTGGAGACTGTGTTTCTGAGGGATATATTTTCTGGATCTTCTGCTAATTTTGCCTGTAACTTTCTTAGTTGCTTGTTGAGTTTGTAGCGATTAGCAACCTCCAGATTGAATGAAATCACTGAAAAACAAAAGATATAAATAGATAATAATGAGGCAGTGCGTATCTTAGCAAATATTGTGAAGGCAGAAAACTCTTGCAGGGATGAACCATAAGGTCGAGTCTTTACTCTTTATAAGAAGATCTCCCAGAAAACAACCATTTTATTTGCTTAAATTTGTTTCTTTAATTTGGTAATAATTGGCGAAAGACGTCTTTTTCCCAGTTTAAACAACCTTATGATACGAACAAGACAAATTTATCTGACATAAAATAAGAAAATTAGCTCGTAAAATTTAGAAGTGTAGTGGTTCAAACTTGATTTTCATTCACAGAATACACAAAGATAACTACAAGGTTTTGAATGAGAAAACTTTTGAGATTTTCAAAAAACAATTTTGATATATTTTCATAAAATGTTAGATACGTTTATATTATAGAAAAAAGAGCGCAGGTTAGTTTTGAATTTTTATATGCAATTACATCTGATACAGCTGTAGTATACATAAAAAGTATATCAAAAACATGGATTAAGTGGAGGGAATACTCACTATTCATCAAAAGTACTTCAATGTATGTATTTCAATAAAAGCAGTCATGTCACTCTTGATATTAAGTGGCTATTCGCGAGTCATGCACGTCAAAAACAAGACTTGAAGCGACCTTGTTACAAGTATGAATCGCATGTTAAGTGGCTGAAGTGTCTAAATAAATTGCTAGATTTTTTATCGTTTGGTTACATCCTGTAAGTTTCTGGTTACATCCTGTAAGTTTCTGAGGAATTTTTCATTCTTTTTTTTACCAAATAACTAAGGCGACAATTTTTCAGTAAAAATGGTTTTATTTTTCACTATTACATGCACTGCTTTGGATAAAAAAGTTGCACATTAAAACTTTGAAAAAAAATAGTAACTTTTCAACGAAGTGACAGCGCTTATTAAACCTTATTTACCGAAGTTCTTTAATGGTAGATGAGCTTTTGTCTATATTTCCCACAGGGATATGCACCTAATATATAAAACTGCCTAAAAATAAAGAAAACTGAGCAATTCGGAAATAGAGAGAATTCTGACATCCCTGCGATCAAAACCAATTTTGAAGAATGACAAAGTAGTAGGTGTAAATCGTTAACTTTTGCATTATTCTGTGAGGGAAAAAATTGAGACATTCTTGGTTCTTTTCTACATCTTCCAACGTTCATTTATTTCAATAATTGGAGTAAATTTGCTTCCAATGTTTTTTTTAAACGAATTCAGGTTTCGTCCATACGTTCTTCACCCTCATTTAGCGCTTCAATTTCATGACATCTTCATTACAAATTCGACTTGGTCATGTATAATATTTTGCAGTAAATCTTGGGCCAGGGGGAAATGGTTTTTAACAGTTTATAATGCAATTTAGTGTCCAAACATGTTTTTTCAGAGTAACATACAGTAATTTATTTTCTTCATTACTCTGTTTCAAATATGATATTTAAACTCTGTCATACATATTTATGTTAGGGAATTAAAGGAAAGACTATAGGAAAACTTTGACTCGTCAACGTTAAAAAAATCATTCCTCAAGAGCAGACTTGAACAACTGAATAATTAAGATGTATGAATACATAATTTTCACTTTCTTATAATCTAGGATAAGCTAGCATTCTTTTTAACTAAGTTCTTTATAGCTATTCTTTTATTTACTTAGACTAATTATGCCAAATGATAATATGGAGTTTGATCTTGTGTATATGGTTCGACTCTCTCTCTCTCTCTCTCTCTCTCTCTCTCTGTGTGTGTGTGTGTGTGTATGTGAGGGTGTGGGTGTGTGTGTGTGTGTGTGTGTGTACACCTACCCTGTTGATCCTGTACGTCGGGTCGATGCCTGTCTTGTCGTGAGCCCACGGCAACTTCATTGTGTACTGAGCTACAGGAAAAATAAAACGAAAATATGAGTCAATTACTTTCAAGATTATATAAATGTATTTAAATAACCCCTCTTTCCGAAAAGGCTAAACCTTGAATTTTTCTAAGCTAACAAAATTCTGTGCTGAAGATAGCAGCTCAGAATTATTCTTCAGGAAATCCATCAATTGAATTTCTTGAACTTGGGGCGTTTAAAATAAGAAAACTAACAAGTGGACTTAAAATATATTTAATTTCCAAAAACTTATCTTTCAAAATTTTATTGAGTTCGGTTTAATCTGAAGAGTTACAAAATGGGTGACAAACAGTATTTCATTTTAAATATTACTGTATAATAATTTTCAAGTTGTAGTTCACTTAACATTGCCTTCATTTACTCATTTTTTCTTCATTAAAAAGAAGAAAAAAATAGCTTTGGCGATCCAATTAAATGCTCTTTAAATGAGTTTAATTCAAGGTCATTTAATTACCATATAAACCAGTACATTTAGGTTCTTTTTAATTCTTTTACATAAACATGAATTAAAGGTCCATTTAAAATCGCTAAATATTTTTTAAAATATCAAACAAAAAGCATTCTGATACCTTAAAAGTTTTGATAGCTCACCAAACACGTCAATAGTTACCTTCAGGGTATCGCATAAGTCTCAAAAGTTGAATATTGAGGAAAATATACGATCTTTTTAAACTTTATTAAGGTTTTGACGGTATACAAAACGCCTTTTTTTCATAAAAAAAATGATTATTTATTCTAAACGTTAATTTTCCTTTTTTTTTTCATCAACTACTAGAAGTAAATATTTAGTACTGCAATGAACTGAATTCTGAGATAAAAAGAATCAGACTGAATTACGTACTTCTGGAAATTGATGTATTCTTGGAAGTGGCAGAGGACAGTTTAATATTTGAATGCCAATCATGTGCCGCGGAGGGTTGGCGTTTAACTTGAGGTTAATAAAAAAAGATTATTTAGGACTGATTCTTGGGGACTCATCAATCCCACTTCCTGTACCCAAACTGTAGTTCAAACAATATGTCGGTATAGAAAGTAATCTCCATGTAAGAGTGAACCAAAAATGCAATCCCCCCCCCCCCCCCCGATTTTGGTTTGTTTTCTAAGATTTGTGCTGCACCTGGACAGCCCATCCCTGTCGCGTGTATGACGCCCAACATACTGGAAGGGGAGCGGGAATTCCGAGTGTTCAGAGGTATTTCAAAAGATATATAAAAATCACCTGGGTAAGATTATGATAAACTGTTTTTTTTACAGCATTGAAAATCACATGGTGTTTAGAAAAGAAGAAATTGTTACATGACGTACGTGTTCAGAATGAGATTAAAACTGGAGGGATTAAATAAATTTAAACGGGTAATGTTTCTGGCAATCATTTATAAGTTTACTATGACTTGTTTTACTTGAAACTGGGATTAAGCGTTCTCACACAATACTGGTATAATATCATATATTTAAAAAAAAGCTGGTTCCTCTGCTCCAAAAATGATTGCAGTTTAAGATATTTATTAACATTTATCCTAATTTAAGAATAAAAACTCATACATGAAAATTTTATATTTATGAAATAAATTTTCTGAAATTATTTCAGAAGGGGTTTTTTTCTCCCAAAGAGAACACGAACATGATTATTCCTATCAGGCAAACAGTGTATTATATCTATTTGCTTTGTAAATGGAATAGGTTCTCAAAGTTTGAAAAGGTTACACATTTATACGAACCCAAGATATACAGACTTTGCATACTTTAAAGCAAGTGACTGTACGTTAAGAAAGTTATTGTGTATGGAAAGAGTGTGTAGAGGAAGATTTAAAACGCTCTTAAATGTTAACTGGAATTTCTTCATAACCTCTAATTCAAACATTCAACAGTAAACACAGGAGAAGATTGTGTAAAGTTAAATGCCAGAACAAGAAGACATCGCGGCATTGAAGGACATAAGCAGAGATGTTTTGACAATCTTTATAAGGAATTGGTCGAACGGTACAAATTGTACACACCAAAGTTCTCTTGTAGAAATAGAAAGCTTTACATGTTACTTATATCATACAACTTTTTTCCGTATCATATCGTAAACAAACAAAAAAAGTCCGTTTTCTTGTTATTAATGTGGATAATTTATCTGAAAGTAAAAAAAGTATAATTACAGAAAACTAAAGGTTGTTTTAATCTCACCTGGACTGAGTGGAGAATATGAAACCAAAACTTTCCGCCGAGTACAAACACACCGTATCACCGACACTTAATGTGTCATCCATTTCTAAATAATCCGCTAGTAATCCAAAATTAACATCTTCACTGGTTAATTATCCAAAAGAAATTTACGTAAATTATCCGCATTTGAACAATGACCGGAAACTTTTTTAAAACTCTTCCGCTGAGCAGAGGGTTCGCTCAAAATCTGCAATTAATCCCGTGCGATCGATTTATGTTTTGGTTACATTAACAGCGGCGTGAAAATAACAGTGGTCTCAATCGTGAGGAAAGATTCGGGTGTATTAAAATTTAGACAACTTAATCCCATTGGTCAGGTCGATGTCATTACTGCAATTACAAAAGGTTTAAAAGGAATTCATTCATTTTACCAGCGTTATTTATTATTAAAGTAATGCTAAATTGAAAACCTTTTAAAGAAAAAATACTTTTAATTCGATTAAAGAAAGGGGGCTCTAAAAATGAATGTCCGATTTGAAGATCAATACATAGTCATGATAATCAAACGTTGTTTGGATGACTGCAATTCATTTTGTCTACTTAAAAGAAGGATACGTAGCACTGCTAATTTGATACAGACTCTGTAAACTAGTTTAAAGACTACAAATGGTCTGGGGATATATCATAAATGCAGTATCTAACAACAAAAATATTTGATTTTTTAAAATCTTAATAATGTATATTTTTGGTCATAAAAGCCCCCTCTCCCACTCCTGTGCTTCCTTTAAATCCGCCAGTGTCTTGGAAAGCGAGTCACGACTAGGAATATGGCTGGGAATTTCTATCTCATTTCTAGGGGATATAGCGACCTCCTCCTGCTATAATTCTGTTGAGTCTATTTAGCCAGCTATTAGAGGCTGTATTTTTATACATTCTGATGAGAAAATTAGTATCAATTAAAATTTTTAAGTTTTGGGACTTTAATCCGATGTATTCATTATTAAAAAAACACAAAAGAGAATAATATGAGTTTGTGAGCATATTTTTGAGATAAAAGGCTTTGAAAAAATGGCGGAAAACCAGACTTCCTAGATTTTTTTTCATAGACAATGAATAAAAACAAAATCTTTCTCTGAAAAACTGATCTGGAATTAGGCTTTTCTTCATAATATTTTAGAAGATTATCAAAACTTCAAAGAATCAAAATGTGATTGATAATTGGTGGTTAGTGGACAAAAAATATTATGCAAATTTAGGTATATAAAACCAGAGAAGTTCCGACAAAATGGCTGATACTCAGCAGAATCACCAGAATACACCCTCAAGGAATGCGTTTAATAGCTACCTGAGTTATGCCGTATACCCATATACCATACAATCTCAATTTTTGGAAAATCAATCCAGATTTTCATCGACTACCTCAATGATCACGATTGTTACATTTATTGATCCTGGAGAAGAGATAAGGGGTATAGGTTTTTTTTCTTTTTTTTTAAACAAGAACTTTAAAGCGGACAATACCTTTAGACTATTTCAAATTGCAACAGTGGCTAATAAAAGGGAAATAACCCAGTTTTTGATTTCACGGTGAACAAAATCAAATCACGTTTCAAATATCAACCAAAAAAATAATTAATTAATCAATTAATTAATTATTTAAAAAAAAAAAACCTAGTCCCTTTCTCTTGACTGTTTATCTAGATTGAGCTGACCATGACGAATCCATTGCACCAAAAGGAATAGAAGACCGGCAATCTACTTTTAGAAGAGCAATTGTACATACTGTCCAACGTTTTAACAAGTTTGTCAATGCATGCGCTTTTCAATTTTTGTCATGATTTAAGGTACTAGATCCAAATAATCTTTATATGTCTTATTAAGTTTAGTTTTAGTTTTGGGGAGGGAGTAAATTGCCCAAAAATTTAAACTGTTTCATGACATCAATAGTTACACAAAAAGTGCATATTGTACATGTTTTTATTTTATTGACAATTGAAAAATTGGAACTTCCTATGAATATTAAAAAGATATATAAATTATTTACAGTGTAATAAATACAAGTATTTGAAATTAAATTTGAATTATCATTCAACATATGTTTAGTTTTGAAAGGGTGTAATGCATGTTTATGAAAATGGTTGCAAAGTTTTTTATTTTATATTTGAAAACCTCCAAAAGTTATTGTAACACTCTTACAATAATGCATTACTTTGCTAAAGTAATGTTAATGTAATGCATTACTTTAAGAAATTAAAGTAATGCATGGTAATTTGATTATATATATATATCTGTTTGCATGATAAAACAATTTAACTACTTAATTAAATAAACTTTTTTTTTTTTTTTTTTTTTTTTTTTTTTTTTTTAGATCCGATGAAAATTAAACTGGATTCGTCAAACTTCCGCTACTATGTATATATATATGTGTGTAGTTGTGTGTTATATTTTTTCCGCATTTTGACCTGTGTATTTGTGATAAAGACAAGATCTGGAACTGCATGTAAGTAGACATTATTTAACTTTCTATCATGTATGAATTATAATTCTTCAAAATCATTAGGAACTTGCATAGGTCCAGCAACATTTAGCGTGCCCTATCAAATTTTATTTTTTTTTTATTATTATTATTAGATTTCCTGCATAGTTTGTTGATTATTTGATGGTTAGAAAAACGACGTCAATAATGCCTAAAAATTAAAAAAAAATTGTCTCAAGTCTTTTTTTTTTTTGGTCGTCAAATGTACTCTTGAACATCATTTAGCCAGAAAAGCATAGTCTACCTGTATGTATGTATGTATCCTTCCTTAGTTACACTGTATCAGTTGCTATTTTAACATGTATGGCATGGTAGTTTCGATGTCCCGAATAAAGTACGCGTTGAGGTTCGGTGAGGAGTATCTATTATAACGGACGTTCCATCATGCAGATTCACCCTATGCATGCACAATTTTGGGTCATACTTGCATCATGCTTTTCAATTCTCCTTTGCTTGGACATTTAACGTTGGAATATGAATTCAGTGGTAAGCATTTTGTCAAAACTTTTATTGCATATTTTACTGTAGAAAAAACTAAAAATATCCTATTTTAAAACACAGTGGATAATTTCGAAAGCAAATTTAATGAAAATAAATTAAAGGTTTCAAAAAGATAAAAAAAAAAAAAAAAAATTGCCCAGTTACGTTTTTTACCATTTTGTTAAATATTGAATAAAAAATGTTGAAGATTCCAAAACATTAAATTCTCCAGTTATTTCGTGAGATGCGTAGTGAATAGGCACCTGCATCGATTTTGAAAAGGGGGGGGGGGACAACTTACCTTAAAAAATGTTTGATAAACGGAAAAAATAGAATTGTCTAAAATTCCATCCAGTGGGCGGAGAGTATATGTGTGGGGATGGGTGGGTGTGTAGTTAGTTCCATCTTAATTTTAGATACATTTGCATTGGAGAATTTAACTATACAAGTACTTTATGAAAAGTTCTTGTGAGGGCGCGGGGGGGGGGGGGGATAACCGACTTTTTAATGAATATATATTTAACTGGTAATAAGAATTTAATTTCGGATACAAAGTCTGTATATAAATGGCGTCTAAAACATCACATCAGGGTATTGAATTTCAAATCGGTATAAATAACACGCTACATTTCTGAAAAAGCTGAGGAAATCAGGAATCTGCATCCATGTTTCCTGCAAAGTCAAATGTACATCTCTCTTCATTTCAAATTCGATATACATTAGGGCATATCGATTTCTTTTTTTCTTCTTTTTTTTGGGAGGGGGGGTGGGTGGGTGGGTGGATGTTTTGATAGACAAGCAAAAAGAAGACAATTTAAAGCTGAAAAATCTTTAAATTTCAAGTAGTAATTATTGTAATAAAATAAGAAATAAAGTAAAGAAAAGTTCAATATCAAAAGAAAATAAGAGAGAAAAAAGAAAATACATTCTCGATGTAAGGTCCGATTCCGAAGAAACTGACTGAAACTTTAGTGTTATCCAAATGTTCCGCATTTGTTCCTGTTATAAATGTCGCAGAAGTATGCAGTTTATTTGATAAGAATAATATTAAATGCCGTTGCATTAATTCAAATACAAAGGTGATTTATAAATTCTACATTTTGAAATGTTCCTCTTATTTAAAGTCCGAAGTCTGAAGTCCGTTGTCCACTGTACGCTATTCCGCAAATGTCCATTACAAGGCGAAAGTTAATTTTCGTAGCATAAAAACTAGAGAAAGAGGCAGGGCGGACCTTAAAACGCAGTATAATTAAAGGTCCGTCCTCTGTATTTCTTTTTTTTTTTTTTTTTTTTTTTGTTATTATAATCTTTTTTTATTAAATGTATATTCATTTGTATAATATTATATAATATACACAGACAGTTCCAAGATAATATGACAATACACTTAATCAAACGATAAATAATATCAATCTAAAATGATACGTTAATTAACATTGTTTAGTACACAGGGCGTATTACTCTTCCATCACATCAATTCAACTGTTTATACTACTATATTCAATAAGGAATAAATTATTTATAATGCCACCAACATCTGTATAAACTATATATGTATATATGCACAATACACAGTAATAGATACATAAACCTCAGAAAATGAAGAAACATTTGGAAAAAAGGAGATTTTATGCACATGTAATTGATTGTTTAAAAAAATTTTTTTTATAACAATAGTAATATCACATACACATATTCAAACATGACCCTTGTTACAGTGGGAATTTCTAATTAAAAAAAAAGAAAATGAGTCCATCATTCCCGCTGTAACTAGTATCGAGGGCCAGGTCACCCTCCAATACGGGTCTTTTTTTATGTTATAATGCTCAACAAAAACAATACTTTAGAAAAAAAGAGGAAGAAAAACAAAAAGCAAAACAAATTTTCTGAATATATGTATAATTTTTTCACATTACATTTTACTGGGAAAAACAATGAACTTAACATTCATACTAAAATTATTTTAATCATAAAGTTTCCAATTACTATTGTGTGTGAAAAAAAATGACACAAGCAAATTAAAGTAACCTAAACAGTAACTAGTGTAGTAAGTGTGTCTGCAGATATTGACTTTTACTACTATTATAG